AGTAAAACATCTTCAAAGAAAAACAAGAAAGTCCAGTTGCTTCTTGAAAAAGCACCTTTGGGACAACCATGACCTGGATGACTGAGAATCTCCATAGACACTCAGTCAATCAGTTTGATTGACAGGATCTAGGAAAACAGCCTCTCTGCCATTGCTCCTTCCCTTTGGATCATTTTACTCCCAATAGTGACGTAAGTCCCCACTCTCCTGGCCTTTCAGAAGAGTATTAAGACCTTGCTCTGCCAATTAACAGGTGGGGTCTAAGAGTGAGGGTGAAGGTTCGTTCTCCAAGCTTGTGAGTTGGTTTCTGAATGTTTCGTTACCAGACTAGGAAACATCTTCAGTGGAGTTTAGCGGATGTCAGTGTTCTGTTTATAAGGGCTTCAGGTGTGGGTGTGTCAAGTGAGGGTCTTGTGATGGGTTTTGTGATGGGTCAGGTGCTTTCGTTGTATGTTTATACGCAAGGTCAAAGGATTGTATTTTACATGGATCTGGTTTACTTTCTATGTGTAAAGTGGACAAGCAAATTTGTGGTACATGAGCATATCTGTTCACTATGAGAATTATTGACACCTCAACCTCTGCTTATCTGAACACTAACTTCTAAAAAAACCACATGTAGATGATCTGAATGTTATTAGCATACATGGAACAGTTCTCTCATTTTAAGTATCCACCAAGCTTCCTTTTCTCAGAGCTCTTTCGGTAATAGCTTCTTTCATCCTTAGTGTTTATGGTGAACTGGATGGTTCTCAATGTCTTGGTATTACACAGTTCAGAGAGTTTTAGAACTCCAGGTGGCTGGCTCTTTGACACAGAGCTGTATATGGCTTTAAAAAGTCGATAAATGCTTGTAACAATAGAGGAGCTGGAGCGGAAAGTCTGGAAGTATCTATTATTAGACATTCAGGAGTACTTTAGGTAGTTAGATGGGAAGAGGGAGCCCCACATTTAAAACATATACTTTTCTGTTAACAGCCCCTAATCTCCATGGAATCCTTTTTCAAAAAGCACTTCAGGAGGAAGATTGCATCATCAGGGCCCCAGCGCACCAGTGTGGTGGCCTTGCCTGCGAGCAGAGCCAGGCGGCGTTCTGTGGTAGGTCAGCCCTCTACCATACTTGTGGAACGCCGGCGCAGATCCAGTTGTCAACTTCAAGAGATGTCTTGCTTGGGCTTCCCAAGCAAACGTAGGTTGTGTTCCCGGAGGCGATCTAGTACCACCACCCCTCGCATGAGCCCTAGATTTTCTGTCCAGAAGAAGCGTGGGGGCCATGTGCACACCATAGATACCCATCTCATAGGGCCCTCTTTGCTGCTAGCCAGTCTCATCCAAGTGTACAAGGAAGAAGAAAGGAGACAGTCCCATTGTACTGAAAGCTCCAGCTCAGGGTCCCCTAAAGATGGGGTGGTGGACAGTGACTGGAGTGAGGAAGCGCTCTCCTCAGGATCTGAAGGAGCAGAGTTTGAAAAGAAGGAACTGCAGACTGAGTGCTCACTATACACCATTCCCCCAATCCAACGTCTTCCTGATTTAAGGCCTTTCCTACGAGACCCTTATTACCTGCGCCGCAGATCCTCCCACCTCCTTCCTGCAGAATTTGTGCACAGCAGAGCAGCCTACGGGCTTCAAGGCCGCTACAGATACTTCAACCAGCGGCGGTGCTCGGGTGAAACCCCCAAGCCAAGTGCTTTGCTTCAGCCATGCAGGTTTGAAAGGGCTGCCAGGAGGTGGAAGGTGCCTGTCGGAACCAGTTGGCTGCCACTGAGTACCCATAAATGCTTGGGAGTGGATCCTGCCCTCAGCAGCTGTGGCAGTGACTCCTCTGGAGGCTGCAATGCCCTTTTGACGTATGTATGGCTTATAGGTGGTTTTTAAAATCATTTGGCTGGAGGTGATCCGGGTGGAGGGGAGGTAATGAGTAGGGAGGAGAAACTATGGCAGCAGGAATGCTCATTCGGATTCATTAATTTTGGAGGCTGGATTCTGTTTCCAAAGAGTTTGAGCTGAATGCATGAATGAGAAGCTAAACCGCCCAATCACAATAAAACAAGAATCTGAATCTGACATTCCTGAGACTAGCATTTTACTAGCTGCCTCTATCCTTGCTGTTTAAACAGTATTTTCTTGTTCTGGTAAATATTTTCAGGTGTTGTGGGACTGCAACTCCCAGAGTTGCAAATGTATTAACTGCTAGCTGGGATTTTATAGTCTAGACATCTGGAAACTACAAGGTTAGGGGGAAAAAATCAAACTAGAAATTAAAAGTCACACGCAATCTTAACTATTGTTTTTAGCTTTTCAACTACGTTCATCTCCCCCGCCCCAATCAACTTTAAATATTTGTGCTTGAGAAACAACAAGAAATTGGACTTATCTTATAGCCTAAGTAATTGTCTTTTGAGAAAAATGATGCTCTATCTCTGGAGTAATTTTTTCCGGGAGTTGGGCTTATAGAACATACTTATTATAGTTAATTAAGGGCAAAGTAAGCGTATGGTGCAAACCCCATAGCTCAGTCAGCAATTGAGAAATAGAATTAGCTTAAACCCCAAACAACCCCTTCTTGTGCAAATACTGTAACTCAGACAAATGTGGAATAGTTTTTAAACCCTGCCTAGTCAGTCATTCAAGAAAAAGGGGCTGATAAAGCAAAGTTCTCCAGCCATGGATGATCCTAGCACCCACAGAACAAGCCTTTCTTGTATGGGTGGGCTGCAGCACCCAAGGAAACCTTTTTAGTACTAGTCTGTTGTAGCACCTAATGAAGGCAATAGCTGCCTGAATGGGGCTAATAAAGCCTCACTGATACTCTCCTGGCACAAGAGTTCATCAAATGCTAGGCATTTATTAGAGGAAGGGGNTCTTCTTCTTCTTCTTCTTCTTCTTCTTCTTCTTCTTCTTCTTCTTCTTCTTCTTCTTCTTCTTCTTCTTCTTCTTCTTCTTCTTCTTCTTCTTCTTCTTCTTCTTCTTCTTCTTCTTCTTCTTCTTCTTCTTCTTCTTCTTCTTCTTCTTCTTCTTCTTCTTCTTCTTCTTCTTCTTCTTCTTCTTCTTCTTCCCCTTATTTAGCAGCAAGGTTTTAAATATAATGCATGTGGTCTGCTGTGTGTGAACAAAATGTCCTTACAGCCACTCTTGTTCTTGTCTTTCAGAAAAGCCATCGCCAAGTCGGGTCTCCAGCACATGGTAGCCCAGCCAAACCCCACATTTGCCTTAAGAAGTGACTCAGAGAGGGAGATTCGTAACTCTGTTGACTGGAATGTAAGTTCCTGTCTTGGTTGAAAGAACAGAAGAATGGGTTGTTTCTCTTTCATTAGCTTGGCTGCAACTATCAAGTTCAACGTGGTTGGCCTTTAAGGGTAGAAGCAGAGAGTATCTTTGACCACAGAGTGCTTCACAATCAGATTGCTTGAGATAGCAATAACACTTAGACTTATATACTGCTTCATCGTGCTTTACAGCCCTCTCTAAGTGGTTTACAGAGTCAGCATATGGCCCCCAACAATCTGGGTCCTTATTTTATCGACCTCAGAAGATGGAAGGCTAAGTCAACCTTGAGCCTGTGAGGATCAAACTCCAGACTGTGGGCAGAGTTACCCTGCAATACTGCATTCTAAGTACTGTGCCACCAGGGCTCCTGATGAAAGGCAACATAGAGAAGTCGAAGCATGATGGTGTCCTATCCTGTGGTTCATGTGTATTCCGATTTCTCTGCTGCAATAACGTGTCACTAGATGGGTGCATCCCTGGTATGACTAAGATAATGTGCCTCTTCCCAGTTCATTATGAGGCTGAACTTAAGAAATAAGTAAGTCCTTGAACCAGAGTAGACGATGATGGAAAACTGGTCAGGTTCTAAACTAAGAGTAATTTTGCCTGGAGTTCTAAATTGCCTCTGTCTTTCAGGAGACTGCAGTTTATGGGGAGCACATCTGGTTTGAAACCAATGTCTCTGGGGACTTCTGCTATGTCGGGGAACAAAACTGTGTGTCAAAAATGCTGGTAAGTTTCGTAAGAAATAGCCACTGTCTGGTAAACTTCACGAGTATGTGAGACTATATCACCACCTAGCGGAGAAATCAGACACATGGAAATTATTAAAACTAAGCGTAGAAAAAATTGTTTGGTGTAATCAGACTGATGCATGAAAAAAGGAAGGAAATGCGCTCATTTTACTGAATTGATTTATGCTTTATATGTTGTGCACCTCTCTTATGACTTAGAAAGGTTTACAACAATTCCGCAAAATATTATTTTTACAGTTATTAAAATATCATATGAATACAAATTCCAAAATTATAATAATACTCTTAAACACTTTGGATGAATAAGTAATGTTAAGTTACTCCCTAAATGCTAGCAAAGAGGGGCCTCCTTCAGCCCTAGTAGCGCTTTGTTCTACAGGGCGAGCCCCATCCAGAAAAAAGCCAAATTCCTTACTGGTGTTACTGTTCTTATGGCAGGACTTGCCAACTAGGTGGCAAAGTGCACAGAGGTCTGTACAGAAATATTTGTTTCTGTAGATAGCTTGGACTTCAGGCATGTAAGGTAAAATGCATCCGGCCGATATGCAGCCATTCAGGATCAGTGCTGGAACCAATAAGACTTTCGTTTTGCAAGCCTGCTTGTTAAGGAAGTATGCATCCTCCTGAAGCTTGAAATAAATCCACGGAATGAGCTATCTTTCCTGAACTTTGCTGCAGCCTATTTTTGCAGTCCTAATAACAAGTAGGAAAGGAGATGTAAAACTGAGAATTGTCAGCATATTGCAGACATCTTGCTCCAAACTGGAAATGATTCTTAAGTGATGCTAGTATTAATATTTGTTTATAAAAGCCTCAGGCAGAACACTTTTGATAAAATCTTCAGTTTTAATTTCCTTTTTCTATATGAGCCGTGAACTTATATTATTTTGAACAGTCTTAATTGCATAGGAAGTTTCACAAAAACTCTCAAGGCAAGAGGAATTCTCCCTCAGTAGGAAATGGGCATGGAGAGAATTTTGCCAAAATCTGCTAAACTGTTGTCTAATTATGGATTCATGAGGAATGTTGTCCTACCCCTAAAGTAGCACTCTCCCCTCCCTCCAAATTGACAGACTAATTATATTTTTAGACATTTTTCCCCCTTTATTTTAACAAGATAACTCTCAAAACAAGAATGTTGTATAGGCTTAGTGAATGCAAAAACCAGCATAGGCAGGCCAGGCTAAGATCCAAGGTCACAGAGTCACAGATGCACCAGTGGCCTTTTTCAGAATATCATCAGGGAGATGGAACATGAGTATGCTTGCTAGGAGCTAGAAGGTGAATTATGAGCCAGCAGTGTGCAGCAGCGGTAGCCAAAAAAGCTAATACAATCCTGGGTAATATAAACAGAGGCATAGAATCAAAAAGTATTGGTACCGCTTTATAAAAGCCTAGTGAAGACCACACCTGGAATACTGCAACCAATTTTGGTCACCATACTACAAAAAAGATGTTGAGACTTTGGAAAAAGTTCAGAGAAGAGCAACTAAAATTATCAAAAGCCTGGAGACTAAAGCATATGAAGAACGGTTGGAGAACTTGGGTTTGGCTAGTTTAAAGAAAAGAAGAAACGGGGGTGACACGATAGCAGTATTCCAGTATTTGAGGGGCTGCCACAAAGAAGAGGGAGTCAAATTATTCTCCAAAGCACCAGACAGCAGGATAAGAAACAATGGCTGGAAACTGACCAAAGGGAGAAGCAGCCTGGAATTAAGGAGAAACTTCCTAACAATGAGGAGTCTAAGGACAATTAACCAGTGGAACAGTTTGCCTTCAGAAATCATGGGTGCTCCATCACTGGAGGTTTTTAAGAAGAGACTAAACAGTCACTTGTCTGAAATGAGCAGGGGGCTGGATTAGAACATCTCCAAGGTCCTTTCCAATTTCTATTCTATTTCTATTTCTATTCTATTCTATTCTATTCTATTCTATTCTATTCTATTCTATTCTATTCTATTCTATTCTATTCTATTCTATTCTATTCCTAAAACATATTAGGACTGGTTGCTGGAATTGGGTATGTCTAGTTTTACAAAGAGAAGGACGAGGGGGGACATGATAGCAGTGTTCCAATATCTCAGGGGCTGCCACAAAGAAGAGGGAGTCAAGCTATTTTCCAAAGCGCCTGGAGGCAGGACAAGAAGCAATGGGTGGAAACTAATCAAGGAGAGAAGCAACCTAGAACTAAGGAGAAACCTCCTGACAGTTAGAACAATTAATCAGTGGAACAACCTGCCTCCAGAAGTGGTGAATGCTCCAACACTGGAAGTTTTTAAGAAGAGACTGGACAGTCATCTGTCCAAAATGGTGTAGGGTTTCCTGCCTGAACAGGGGGTTGGACTAGATGACCTCCAAGGTCCCTTCCAACTTTATTATTATTATTATTATTATTATTATTATTATTATTATTATTATTATTGTTGTTATTGTTATTTTTATTTTTATTGTTATTATATATAATATTCACATCGGGGCAATGCCAAAAACAATCCAGAATAGCATCTGAACTGATCTGAATTTATCTCAAGTACATCCTCAGCTCTCCTTCACAGTAAACCAGTAATTTCAGATCTGCCTTGTCTAGTGACAAGTCAAATTCCTGTAGCCCTTGAAAAAAATCTTGTTTTTTTAATGATGATGATTGTAATAACGATGTGTAGTTCCAAATAACAACAAAAAGCCTACTCCACTATAAAGTAGTTCCTTATATAGGGGAGATGTGTGTGTGTCCTCTAGGAAAGACAGCACCCCCTCTCCTAGGATCACAGAAAGCTCTTAAAACCTGGCTTAGGTCCCAGCCTGGAGTTAATGTATTATTGTATTTTCTGGAGCCTGTTTTGTTTGATTTCTATTGCTTGTAAGATGATATTAGTCTGGGCTGTTTTGTTATGTTTTATCTGTTTTTATAGATTTTTTTTTGGGGGGGGGGTTGTATGCTCTCCAGAGTCTATTGCAGTTGGGTGGTTATAACAAGCTTGAATAAATAAATAAGATTAAAGGTGGAATTGCTGTCCATTAGAGATTAGATGAGCTAATATACCAGTCCACCTGTCTGAATCAATATAAATGTGTACAGTAAAACCTCAATTTTACAAATCATTTGCAAGAAATAGTGCCTGTTGTAGACAAATGTCCATTAAATATGAATTTAGACAATTGATCTACTTTGCATTATCTGCCTAATTACATCAGTTGTCATAGCTGCTTCAAAACAACAGTCTGTCCATTATTAGGAATGAAGTCCAAACTAAAATTTTGTTTGTGGCATCCAACATTTGCTGAATGAGTGTAAAATTGTTGATAATTCTATATTGTTAATAATTGTTGATGTTGTTGATAATTCTATATGTTGATAATTCAGAGTGTTTATTTCCCTCCCAAAATCTCACTGTGCTTTCTGCTGAATCTGATGACATTTTTTCTGCTGAATTTGATGACATTTTTTCTCTCTCTTTTTCTCTCTTTTTTCTTTAAAAGCAGAAGCAAATTTTTACAATCCTATACTATTGCACAATCTTGATCTTAATCTTTCTCAGTCAAATAATTTATTTTACATATTGTATTCATATTTATATACAAAGCAAAATAAATATGTACTATGCATTTTGTAATTTTTAAAAAGTGAACATTCTTGAAAAGAAAGTTTTCCTAATAAAGAAAAACATGAGAAAAGTAGTTAGAAGTTTGATGTTGGATTGACAGTCTTCATTTGATGCATGTAATGTTTTAATTAGTTTGCAATTTATTCATTTATTCTGTAATGCTTGAAAAGTGACATATGTGTTTATATCCAAGTTAATAGAATTATGAACGTATTTATTAACCAAAAAGACTTTTATGGCCACCTATCTTAAAACACATCTTTGGACATCTCACAGCAGAGATATATAAAAATATATTTCAAGACACCTCTTTATTAAGTCTCTGATTGGGGGATTACAATCTAATTCAGATTTGATTGCCTCTTCCTGAATTCTATTTGATTTATTATGATCAAGAAATGGGGAAGCCATTGCCCTCCATATCTCAAGTCACTGCCTTCCTTGCCTGGCCTTTACATTTTTTTATTTTTTTATTTTTTTTATTTATTAAATTTATATACCGCCCTATCTCCCTTACGGGACTCAGGGCGGTGAACAGGCGATACTAAAAACCACAATAATAAATAAATAGTTTCTGTGTTTCCATATAGGGATGGAAACATGCAAACTAAAAAAAAATAGCTTTGATCTGCAAGGTTTTTGTATATTTTGGTATTTATTCTGTCAAACCATTTTTCTGGATAATTTGCAATCTTCTCAGACACTGGGGGTTGATGGTATAAATATTATGTTTCCTTTGTTGCAGCAAAAACCTATGTCCAAGCGCAAATGTGCAGCCTGCAAAATTGTAGTCCACACACCCTGCATAGAACAATTAGAAAAAGTGAGTAGATCATCATGAAAAATGCTCTGCTGTATTTGATTCCATCTTGCCACAACCAAAATCTGAAAAATACTTATTTGGATAAATTCACAAGACGTAAACTCTTTTGTTTTTAATTCTTTGATTCTAGTTTTGTCTTCTGAAGGGCCTAGATTCAGTTAAATCTAAATTTATTTAAATCTAGATATTACCAGTTAAATAATCCTGATTGGAGAACTGGGAGGTACCTTGTATTAGTGCTATTTAGAGAAGAGTATACTGAGCTATACAAATTCAAGTTGCATATACTGTAGTTTCATGTATTCTTCTACTAACTTTTTCACTGAAACTATTTAGAGGGGGGAATCACAGGAAAAAAATATCAGAATAGACTGTTATTCATAGGATTAAATCCTCCTTTTGTTAAATCCTCAGATTAATTTCCGATGCAAGCCTTCCTTTCGAGAATCTGGATCAAGGAATATCCGGGAGGTAAGAACTGCATTAACTAGTTAGGATTTTGCAGCATTGTTGAAAGTGGGGGATTTTTTAAAATATGCAGCTTCATCCCAATGCGTTTAAAATATTTGGCCTAAATTTGAAGCAGAGAATTTGTAACCAAGTCTGAAGCTGTACTTTTCCATGAACATAAAATATGAATATGTTTGTGGCATAGAAAGGATACTATAATGCATTCCTTCTTATCTTTGAGAATCTGTATATTCAGATAATGAGAAGAAATACATTTTGTGCTAAGCAGTCTCTCTGGTCCAAAAATTGCATATGTAATGGTCATAGATTGATTTTTTAAAACAAAATAATAAGATACCAGCTATAGGAATACCGGTAAATGAATAAATGCATGCTATCTGGTTAGTCATTACATTTGTTCATTTTTAGAACTATTACTTACGGTATTCATACACTGAAGCAGTATTAATGAACTACTTTATAAATCTAATATTTCATTAATCTTATACTTGATATTCTGCTAGTATAACCTGTATAATCTTCATAAGAATAGTGACTCTGAAATAAGTCCAACTTTGACACAAAAACAGTTGAATTTTTCCAGTCGTTAGATAGCTTTTATTCATCTACATTAACTCTGATTTTTAAACTTATTCCAGGGTTTTAATTCCCAAGCTGTATAAGTGTTTCATCAACAATATTGACAGAATGCATGGTTCTGTATTTGATGGCTGCTGTTTAAAGCTTGCAGAAACCATATTGTACCTTGCTTCTTGAAGATAAATAGGACTACATTCCATCTGGGGAAATGTGACCAGCATTTTGTGTTGCCTGCGTAGTATAAGTAACCATCTTGGAAGTACAAGATAGAAAAAAAAAACGAGGAGCATCTATTCTTGATAGGGAAGGCTGTGTTTGCCTTTAAACTTGGATGAAGAAGAAAAGGAATCTTCCTGAATTAATTCCTAAGGTCACTTACACAACATTTCCCCTACCTCCCAACAAGAACAAACTGTGAATGGTATCTAATGCCGGTCTGTATTTGCCAGCCCTTACCAGAACATTTAGCAGCACTGAAAGCTGTTCAATTCCTTCCTGTTCCTTTGTTTCTTTTTTCCTGAACGCTCCTTTTTCTTTGTAGCCTACTATTGTGCGGCATCATTGGGTACACCGGAGACGCCAGGAAGGAAAATGTCGACAATGTGGAAAGGTGAGAAACACAGTGCATATGTGTATCAAGATCTTATCAAATTATATAGAGAAAGAGAAAAGGAGAGGGTTTTTTTTTTAAAAGAAGCTAAGCTAGTGTGGAGTTGGTGAGAAACTATATTGGACTTGCATCTTTGCATAATATTCTTTATTCTACCAAGTAAAAATAAAAAGATACTATATACAATGTGATTTGAGTTTTCTGAACTATTATCTTTCTGACTTAGATCAGTTTTTTCCATATACTGTTTAACTGCATCTCCCCTGGATCGCAACGCTAATTCATTGGTGATTCATTGGGTTGCCAGAAGTTAACCTTCATGAAGTTCTAGAAACATGAGATTGAAAGACATTTGTACATTTGTTAGTGTACATCTGTTGCAACATACAAAAATATTATTATTTAGTAGGCGTTATACTTTTCACTGTAATGTAAAATGAAAAAGGAAACGTGAATAATGTTATTTTTCTTTCTTCGTCTGTCCAGGGTTTCCAGCAGAAATTTGCCTTCCACAGCAAGGAAATTGTAGCCATCAGCTGTTCCTGGTGTAAGCAGGCAGTGAGTGCAGCATGCATTTGTTTGCCAAAATATTATTCTCCTTTTCTCTGCCTCCATTTGCCCCAAAACACTGGAAGTTTTTAAGAAAAGACTGGACAGCCATTTGTCCGAAATGGTATAGGGCAGGGGTAGGCAACCTTGGCTCTTTTATGATTGGTGGACTTCAACTCTCAGAATTCCTGAGCCAGCCATGCTGAGGGGAAATGGAGATGTTTCCAAGCTGAGCCATGCTGGCTCAGGAATTCTGGGAGTTGAAGTCCACGAGTCATAAAAGAGCCAAGGTTGCCTACCCCTGATATAGGGTTTCCTGCCTGAGCAGGGGGTTGGACTAGATGACCTCCAAGGTCCCTTCCAACTTTACTACTACTACTACTACTACTACTACTACTACTACTACTACTACTACTACTACTGTTATTATTATAAAACACAATATGCTATTTATTGAAATTTTTTATTAGTGTGTGCACCATGATTTTACTTGTATATGTAAAGGTATATGCTTTTATCATGGTAAGTTCTTGAATGCAGTTCTTCTCCTTCAAGGAGAAAAAAGAAAGAAAGAAAAAAACAATGTTGAGAAGACATCTGTTCAGAATGGGGGAAATGGGAAATTAAAACACAGGTCATTCTTGCTTACCAATGACACCTGGGACCAGCTGCTCTGTCGCTAAACACCACGGTTGCTAAGTGAAAAATCATGTGACTGTACAAGACACAAAAACTCACTTCTGCTTCCATGATTAAGCAAATCACCCCAGTCATTAATTGGGACATTGTATGATGGCAATTTTTGATTTCACTTCTATGTTCTCTTTTAACTTTGCTTCTTGAAAGCTGGTTGTGAAGCACACAAATGGCGATTACGTGACCACAGGCTGTTGTAATGTTTCTAAATGCGAAGATTGGTCGCAAAGCTTCCCCCCCCCAATCATTGTAACTTTGTACAGTTATTAAATGAGGTACTATAGTTGGTAAACGAGGACTACCTGTAGTATATGAGGTGCAGAAACTAGTCACTCACTTTTTACTTTCTTATATATTTCCCAAGAGTGTTGTTGGTTTGTCTGCTAGTGGGAAATATCTGAATGTAGAATTGTAAGACACTTTTTTTGAAAAAGACAAGACTTTTTTGTGTGGAGAGAGAGAGAGAGAGAGAGATATGGATGCAGAGCTAATTGCTCCCTTTTATATTAATATTCTGACATAGGAGTGTATTTAGAAATGTAAAATATAAAAGAAGAAACTGCCTAGCATCCTGAAATAGTACCCTCTTTCCCACCATCTCAGCAGTCTTCCTGTAAAGGTCCAGGCAGACAAAACAGGAACCATTAGTTCTCAGACCAGGCCAAATGTATAACAACTTTCAAAAACTTCAAGGCTGCTAAGCACTGAGCCATGTTTCTGGTTATTCAGGAGGGCAGGAGGAAGAAACTTCAAGCGAAAATTCCCAAAGTCTTTTTTTATGTCTTTGCATAGCAACGGATAATAGACTGTTGTGTTACAGCTTTATTACTGTCTGTTCTAAATACACTAATGTAATTGAGCCACGCCTGAGAGTTTTCATCCAAGTTAGGCCCGGGATTTGTGCTAAGCCATGAAGTCCCAGGAGATTTATTCCAAGTTTAGGATGAGAAGCCTAGCACTTAAATCTGATTTCCAAACCTTTCTGCTTACAGGAGTACACCAGCCCGATATTGGAAACAGGCTCACAGAGGCAGTGGTTATTTTTAATCTGTTCTGTTCTTTTGCTTCTTTTCAGTATCACAGTAAAGTTTCATGCTTCATGCTGCAGCACATTGAAGAGCCCTGTTCATTGGGGGCACATGCTGCTGTTGTCATCCCTCCCACCTGGATTTTGCGTGTCCGGCATCCCCAAGTATGTTGCAATTTTAGGTTTTCTTCATCCCTATGCAAATTTCTCCCCTAAATCCCTTTATCCTTACTTAGGCCCGCCCAGGCCCTTTCCTATGTATTAAGAACAACACTCAAAGTTCCCAACAAAATTCAGGGGATTGCAGTCCTAACACTTCTGAAATGTGGAGGAGGTACTTTAAATGCCTCCTGATTTACATGGTTTGTTCTTTCTGTTCTCCCCCCCCCTCGCCTTCTCTCTCTAGAACCCTCTGAAGTCAAGTAAGAAGAAGAAAAGGACTTCCTTCAAACGAAAATCCAGCAAGAAGGGGCCTGAGGTCAGAAATTAGGACTGAGAACTTGAAAGAATATAAAGAACAAAATGAAGATCAGGCCATCGTAAAGGAGCAATTGGGCGGGGGGAATTCTAGGAAATTGGCTAATGCTTTTTTGTACTTTTGAGCATTAATTTGCTAGACCAAAATGGAAAAAAATGCACTTTTTAATACTGAAGTGTTACATTCGTTTTAATTTACAAAATTGCTTCTTTGGTATTCCTGGGCCATGAGTCCATGTAGGAGGCTATCTGGAAGCCCTCCAAGCAAGTGAGTAGCTTGATGGAAAAAGAATGCCTCCTCCTCTGCGCTCAGTGAAAAGAATTGCCTTCTGTCTTCTCCCAGCCAAACCCTAATAAAATATTTGCAGACTAGTAACTTTTCCTAAAGACTAAGGAAAAACAGTCCAACAGAACTGAAGCAAATTGGACAATGCCATTGATCACAGAGGTGAATAATGTGTGGCTCTCCAGATGTTGCTGGAGTATCATCCCAGTAGCCTCTATCAGTGGCCTTGCTGGGATGAGACTGCTGAGAGCCATAATGGGGTCCTGTTATCACCCCTTGGTTATTATACTAAATATTAAAAGAGGAAATATCTTCCTCCAAATTTGCTATAAAACTGCAGTATCCTGCTTACAGATACTGATAAAAATTAGTCATTCCTTATAAACATGCACTAAAAACAACAAAGGAAGCTGATTAATAGCATCTTGATCCCAGAAAATACTAAAATGTTTTCATAGAAATGAGGATTTTTTTTTTATAGTTATTGATTACAAAGGCTAGATGTTGTCCCCACAGAGCTCCAGAATAATGGTTGCTGGAAAACAGGTGGACATCACTGCACTTACGTTTTGCTTATAGGCATCCCTACAATATCTAATTGACTAATTTAGACATAGAAAGCCGAACTGGGTAAGACTGATCTTATCCAGCACAGCTGTTACATTTTTTAAAATATTTAAAATATTTTTAAAAATATTTCAGATGTTTTGCTCTTTTACTCCAGATAATCCAAATGGAGATTGTTTATTGTTTAGAACAAATGAGAATTGAAGCCCAAAAGAGGGCAGGAGAAAGAAAAGCTAAAAACAGGGGTTTTTTGATGAAATGTAGATGCCTGGCTGGCTTTACAGTAATTGAAACTTAGGGCGCCATCATTTCCATGATTTTTGTTCTTGTTTTTATAGACCTTGACATAAAAGGCAAGAAAGATCTTTTCTACAAAAATAAAACCCAAGTATTGTTCATATTCCTAGTCGAACCTAGTACTTGCATTTGTTCCGTTTTTTTGGTTGTCAGAAGTGCAAGGAATTTAGTGACTATAACACCGTGCACGCAGTGTAAATCCCATAGGTAAAACCTCTGATTTCATTTGGCATTCTGTAATTCAGGGCATCTTTTTTAGGAAGGAAGATGGAAACCCTTTGTTATCAAGCCCATTCCAGCACCTCTCATGAAGCCTCTGCTTGTGTTTGTGAACCCCAAGAGTGGTGGGAATCAGGTAAAATTCTCATTTATTTCTCATATACCATTGGCTTTCTGTTAGCCGCCTTCGGCAGATTTCCTTTATTATTTTCTTCCATTCTTTTAGGGAACAAAGATATTCCAGTCTTTTATGTGGTACCTCAACCCTCGGCAAGTTTTTGATCTCAGCCAGGGAGGTCCCAAAGAAGCGTGAGTAACAATTAAAAGCCTGAACCTAACCCAAGCCCATTTGTCATGTCCAACTGACACAGACCTCAAATTATTGGGGAATTTTTTTTTTATATTTACATCTTGCCTTCCAAAATAGACAGAGGGACACTTTAGAATTAGAAGAGTGAACGATCTTAAGAGTACTTGATGAGGTAACATTGTTGAACTTCTGAGTGTAAATCTCAGTGCAACAAAACTGAGATCCCCTAGAAGTTATTTAGATTGAGATTTTCAATCATTGTCAGTCATGCTATCTCCTGTGCTACTGAATAGTGCCCACCAAAGTGGAAAATGCTACTACCGTATTTCCTCAGAAATAAGACCCAAATGGAAAACAAGCCCTAGCATGATTTTTCAGGATGCTTGTAATATAAGCCCTACCCCCAAAATAAGCCACAGTTAAGATCATCAGCCGGACAGACGCATTTATTATCGTATTTCCCCAGAAAATAAGCTGTAATGCAAGAGTGTCAAACTGGCAGCCCATGGGCCGGATGCGTCACGCACAGGCCACGCCCACCCAGCTCCACAAAGGCAAAAAATATGTCACGATACGTCACATGACACAATCGAGTTTGACACCCATGCCCATAATGCGTCTTTTGGAGTAAAAATTAATATAAGACCCGGTCTTATTTTCGGGAAAACACGGTGTAAAGGGAAGAAGAAGAAATAAAACAATCCTGTAGAGTGATTCAAGTTAAAAGAGTTTTAATTCTCCCAGTATTTGGGGCTGAATTTTCAGTTGTCCAGGTCTTCCGTTCTACAATATTGTAGGAATGAATTTGATCTCTTCGAGAGAGCTTGGGGGATGTACAGTGGGGGGCTTGGTCCAGTGAGTAAGCAGGAAATTCAGACCCATGAAGCCCTTCTTCTTGGGCCAAGCCCGTATTTCCCTGGTATTGTTTTTTACATAGAAAGGAGGATCAGATAAATCCTCTCTTTTCCTTTGAGTAAAGAGGAAGAGCTGCCTCTTTATATAAAGGAGAAAGCATAGAATTACTGCTCTCTACTTTCTGCTCCAATGAGAAAGACAGTCTGCAAAGGAACAGATAAAGAGTAAATCATTCCTTATCATTGCTGCTGCCAAGAAATCTATTATGTACAGAAGGAGACAAGGATCAATTGTTTCCTGTCGTATGCACATGCCTTTGTGGAGAGAGGAGCAGGGTTGGTAAAAAAGAAAAGAAAAAAAAGGTAGAATTTTACCAGGGTCCCTGAAGACTAGAAGCAGCTACTCTGTTAAACTACATCTGGCTTTTGCGCTAGAGCTTTCCCTTGCCTACTCTAGATGGTGCTCTGACATGGAGTACTAAGCCAGTACTGAAGTAAACTACTTCAATACATTTTCTAGCCATGCCCTTTTCTGCTCCTTGGAAGAAAAGAAATCTCATTCCATTAAGCTAACAGCCAGAAAGAGAACATACACAGTTCAAACCACAAACCTTTACTCCCTTTTTACTCATTTTTTTATTACTTGGGTATGCAGCTTCTTTCAGCTATGGAGACAAAGCTGAAGAATTATTGTAAAGATATATTTTTTAAAAAAATTGGGGGGGGAAGGAATAAGGTTCAATAGATAAATATAAGTGATGCTCACTCTGGGTTTTGTACAGGTTGGAGTTGTATCGTAAAGTGCACAACTTACGGATTCTGGCATGTGGAGGAGATGGTACAGTAAGTGGCTATGTCCTTTTTCTTGTGTGATAAGCTGTGATAAGGTAGATCTGCATCAGTAGCAGAACCTGGATCAGTATTCAGATAGTTTGTTACATTGAGTTATGTGAGAAGAATTGTCCACCAAATAACTTACATAATACAACCATACACATTCAGGGCTAACCTGTCCAAGGATACCGAGCTGTTTCCATTTTTCCTAAAGCACTAATTCAGCAATGTATTAGAGATGGGCATTTCTAAGAGAATTGTCTCTGAAACTGGTTGGTTTATATTGGCTCCTGGCCTACTACTTTTTTAACCTCTGGAGGATATAATATTTCAATATGCTGGAGCCCTGCGGTCCTATCTAAATTGTAGCCCTGTCTAAATTGTAAACCAACAGTTGTAGTAAAGATTCCTTTTAATTGATTTTGGTTAGTTGTTGGACTAATTGAATAAATAGCATAGCCACTAACAAACCCTGCCATCTTTTGTAGCTCTTATTTTTACACTTTTTGGGCTGGCTCCTGTGGATGTATATAAAAAATGCAATAAACAGCTGAAGCAACTGAGCAGACATAGGAAATTTCAGCAAAAATTCTGTCTGAATCTGTTATATCTTTCCTGGCTGAATAGGTGGGATGGATCCTGTCAATTTTGGACCAGTTACGCCTGAATCCTCCACCTCCTGTGGCCATTCTGCCTTTGGGGACAGGAAATGACCTAGCAAGAACACTGAACTGGGGCGGGGTAAGGATTTGCCAATTCATTACAACTTTAGTATTTGGCTATGTTCCAAGTCAGCACTGCGAACGAAGCTAAATAGATTGAAGGGATGTTATTTGTTTCCATTACCTTGTCTCAGTTCTCACAGAGGACATATCAACCCACAGGGATATACCGATGAACCGTTGTCAAAAATCCTGTCTCATGTAGAAGAGGGGGAAATTGTGCAACTTGATCGCTGGAATCTACAGGTGGAGCCCAAACCTGAGGTAAATCCAGAAGAGAAGGATGAAACAGCCACAGATAAGGTGAGCCCAAAGCTATCATCTCTAAGTTATTAGCAATGTCATATCCAGATAAATCAGCTGCTATCTCTCACACACAACGTGTTGTACTTTTTTAATGTATTCCATAATGGGTCAAGTATAATTACATATGAGTTAAATTTAATGAGAAATATTCTGTGATATCACAGAAAATATACCTTGCTCCCTAGCTAACTTTAATGAATTGGAGCCTGTGTTACAAATAGGGCAACAGGAAGAAGTAAATTCTAAAAAATGAAGATGGAAAAGAATGGGTGGAAAAAGGGTCAATAAGCATAATCTAAATCCAGTAAAATAGATAATATTCTCTAGAACAGTGGTTCTCAACCTGTGGGTCGGGACCCCATTTGGGGTCGATCGACCATTTCATGGGGGTTGCCAAGCAAGGCTGTCCGCCATTTTTTTTGTCTGCCATTTTTTCCCCTTTTCCGGTGGGTGCCTTACCTCCCTTGAGCTGGGCCAGCTGGTGATCGGCCTGCTCCGTCTCTGCCGCTTGCCAGCTACGCCTCGGCCGGCGCAGGGGGCGGAACCACGCATGCGCGGCGCTCCCGGGCAGGGAAAGTCCTCGACTTACGACCAGTTGGGTAGTCCTCAACTTACGACCGGTTTAGTCCTCAACTTACGACCGGTTTAGCCCTCGACTTATGACCAGTTCAGTCCTCGACTTACGACCAGTTGGGGGTCGCAGCATTAAAAAGGTTGAGAACCACTGCTCTAGAATCTGCCATTTGTGCTTCTAATGCGCAATGATTATACTTAAGTATAGAATAGCTTACTGTCATAATTCGTCATAAGTCCAATAGAAGAATAGAATTTTTAGTTCTGTGTTCAGCTGTAGGAAGGCTAGCTGTAATTTCCTAGCTAGATCAGGTATAAGCAATCAAAATGATAACACACTTACCATGTAGAAGTTTTATTTCAAACTACTGTTTTTTTATTTATTCATTTGTTTATCAAATTTGTATGCCGCCTATTTCACCCTAGGCGGCTTACAGAGAGTTGCTGATGATACCCAAACCTTTTTCTCTGAAACAGTGTCAGGTAATAATATATCTCCACTGAATAGCTGCTATAAACATCAGTAGAGTAGATAAAGAATAATAAATTGAAACTGTCGTCAAAAAAACTATAGAGGTTCGTTACAATGCAATCTGGTGTGCTTCTGGAACCAAGTGTCTTCGGTTTTCAAGATTGGGATAACAGATCATAGCACTTTTTTTTTATCAAGAAGAGAATGAGGTTGTCCCTTGCTCTTTCTGACTAAATGGAAAAGTCAGAAAGACAGCATACTAGGAATGCTTTTGTTGAAATAAAGCTCTCCATGTGATATAGAGTAGGTTTCCAGATTTCAGAGTCAGCCACTGTACTTGGCATCCAGGGCTGAACGATTGAGGTGAGAGACAAGGGGCTGGGGTCACTGAATGGCCTGCCCCTCTCCCCAATTTAAACTCTCCACCCGTTCATCTGAATGCTATTGTGAATGCAGAAACCATATGTGTGTGAGAGCGAGGAAGAAATGCTTTAAGCTATTACCAATTCTTCATTACTTTGCTCCAAATTGTCCTTGCAAAGAACTTCCCATTCTCTGGAGTTTCAGATTCCAAATGCATCCTTGGAATTTGGAAAGATGGTAGATTGGACTATATAAAAACAAAACTGCTTTCCTTTTGAATCATGACTTAAACACGTATATGTGGGATAGCTAGTTTGGCCCTAAGAATGTCTTCTCATTGTTTAGAATCCCTGTGAGTTAGAGTATCAAAGTCTCAGCTAAAGCATCTTTCTGAAAATTTTGGGAGAATCTCAGGAAGACGTGATTTGGTATTATATGATATTTTCATAGAGACGTTTCTGTATTCAGAATGTCATTATCATACAATAAAATATCAGAAGAGATTTTAATAGATGAAGGAGGTAAGGATTTATATCCAGGGTTCTAAACTGCTTTGTTTATTCCATACAAATATCTGTATATCAACTAAAAAAAACCCCATTCTGTCTTTCAGTCCTAGGTTAAGTGTTCTGTTTGTCTATTTCAGCTCCCTCTTGATGTCTTCAACAATTACTTCAGCCTTGGTTTTGATGCTCGAGTGACACTGGAATTCCACGAATCTCGAGGTAAATGTCAATGCGTCTAATAACCGTCAAAGCTTATGCTTTGCAGATTATGCGAGGGCTGGGCTGATTGCTTGAGAAATGCTTACAACTTTGTCTAAGGAGAAGCTAAAGTCAGAAAGGTTGTAATTTAATTTAATTTAGAAGACCAGGGAGGGAGGGGAAAAAGAAAGTGATTAGGAATTGGAAGCAATTGGCTCAGAAAAATAATTAATGGCTTTCCCGGAGTAAAGATATATATTATTTCTAATGCTAGTGGGGGGGACTTAGATTCTTAAGAACCGGTGACTCGTAATAATGGATAACTAACTTTTTTTTCCAGAGGCCAATCCAGAGAAATTTAACAGTCGATTTAGGAATAAAATGTTCTATGCTGGGGTGAGTTCAACAGGATGCATGCCCCAGTCTATACTTTCTACCTTTCTCTTGATATGCCCCCCCCCAAGTTATTTATTAGAATATAGACAGCAGCCTTTCCCAAGTTGGCATCTTCCAGATGTGTTGGGATCTCATTTCCCCAGAAATACCAGGAGTCACACGCTTCGCACATGTGGAGGCATTCTGAGTTGGGAAGAGGTGCTGTTAGTTTCCTTTGGAATATATGTGGAGGAAAAATACTTTATCTGCATTGAAAATCTGTACTAGCACAACTTGATTGACATTACCAGAATTTGGGAGAGGGAGGGAGGGAGAGAGAATTTGGCTAGTGTACATGAGAAAGTATAGTTTTCCTGCTTTGTCTGGAAAAGGAGTTTGAATAATTCTGTTGCCATTAGTATTGAGTCAAAGTTTTGCATGAAGTGTTTTCTTACGAAAAATAAGGGGTGAAGGTTGTCAGCATAATGAAAGAAGAATATCCAGAAATGTTCAAGTGCAATCAACTTACAGGAGAAAGTGGTAGCAGTTTTTCCCTTTCTAAATGTAGTTTTGCTATCTTCAGTAAGATGGCAAGACTTTTTTACACCTTGAGAGGGACTATGAAAGTGGAAGACATTGTGCAATGTAGCTCAGCATTAAATTCAGCCAGGGAGTGGGGATAGTGGGATGGGACTTGATTATGCCCTTAGAAATTTACTCAAATCACGTAAAATAGGGACTAGGTACCATCTGTGAAGTAGAGAACAAAACGAAAAATGGTAATGTTGGATAATTGAATGTGCAACATTCCTACTTAAACAGATATCCTACCCTGCCATTTACACTGAGATATCCTACCCTGCCATTTACACTGAGATTTAAAATGAGATAATTTGCTGAAATACAGTTTGCCTTCTCAATCTTCCCTTTCTGTTGAGAAGCCGGTAGGCAACTCTGTGAACTGTTTCAATTTTTCTTCTATTTGTAGACAGCATTCTCCGATTTTCTCATGGGGAGCTCTAAAGACTTAGCAAAACACATCAAAGTGGTGGTGAGTATATTACGATACGGATGGGTTCTTTCAGTTTATTGGAGAAACAAAGTTATTGGCTTGGATAATAAGTTTGGTCTGCTGATGAAGTTGATTATTGTAGACAATGTTGGGAGAAAAAAATTATTCCCAGGCCAAGTCTCAGGCAAGAAAAAATTGGCTGTTCCATAGAAAGGATAGGATTTGGCTGGTTGCTTCTTCCCTTTGATACTGACTGCTTATTCTCTTTTTTTAAAACAAAACAAAACAGTGTGATGGAACAGATCTGACTCCCAAGATCCAAGATCTTAAGCCTCAATGCCTCGTCTTCCTAAACATTCCAAGGTGGGCTGTTACATTGATTGCCAGACAATAGAAGTCATTGCTTTTAAGCTACATTCCCAATTTTCCAAATCTCTCCCTGTGTTTTCAGTTGTAGCAGTTCATTTTTCTCCCTCCTGTCTATGTATAGGTACTGTGCAGGCACAATGCCTTGGGGCAACCCTGGAGAGCACCATGACTTTGAACCCCAACGCCATGATGATGGCTGCCTTGAAGTCATTGGCTTCACCATGACCTCGCTGGTGAGTAAGCCCAGCTATTCTGACTTTTTACACCAGTCTTCCTAAGTAGCCATATTGCGGAAGCGCATTAATTAATTAATTCCCTTTGTAGTCCTTGGGAGCATCAAAGCATTATTTACAAGCACAATAGAAATTTTTTGTACTGTACATCTCAGATTACACCCAGAATAGCTGAGATGAATTAAGTAATCACAAAATATAATTAATAGGTAAGAGAAGTATCAACCCTTTATTTGTTAAGCAGACGACATCCTGCTTAGGAGTAAACAATGGAACATTTGGTTCCTGCAGTTGTTACGCCCGTATTCCTATGGGGCATAAAAGGTTGTAACCTTTTGTCCCTTGCTCTGTTCCAGACTTGAACTGGACCTTGACCACTTTCATTGTGAGTGGCTAAAACAGATTCTATTAATTTCAACTATATTTCATTTTGCAATGGAAATTGTCAGCACTGGAAACCCAATCTAGATTAGATCCACATGTGTGGAATCCACTGAGATTAAATCCCCTGTGCTAGCAGTTTATGTTGCATGAAGAGGTGCCGTTGCAAAATATAAATGCTAGACATCTGAATTAATATCGAGATTCAGCAGGGGTCAAAGGGTTAAAGCCTAATAAAGCTTCTGATAAAGATGCAGAACACCTTGATAATTTGATCCTAAATCTGTGAGTTTGCATAGTGTGTCTAGAGGTATAAGGCTAAGAAATGCTAAGACTTTTGAACATTACTGTTATATTGCAATACATATACCATTGGGAGTCAGCTGCAGCACTGACTCCCAATGATATATGTATTGCAATATTGTAATGCACAGGTATAGTATAATGGTACATGGCTCAACAGTAGTAACTGTGAGAGGGATCTTGGAATCCTACAGGACAATCACTTAAATTTGAGCCAGCAATGTGTTGCAGCTGTTAAAAAAGACAACACAATCCTAGGTTGCATTAACAGAGGGATAGAATCAAGATCATGTAAAGTGTTAATACCACTTTATAATGCCTTGGTAAGACCACACCTGGAATACTGCATCCCGTTTTGGTCACCATGATGTAAAAAAGATGTTGAGACTCTAGAAAGAGTACAGAGAAGAGCAACAAGGATGATTAGGGGACTGGAAGCTAAAACATATAAGGAACGGTTGCAGGAATTGGGTATGTCTGGTTTAATGAAAAGAAGGACGAGGGGGGATATGATATCAGTGTTCCAATATTTGAGGGGCTGCCACAAAGAAGAGGGAGTCAGCCTATTCTCCAAAGCACCTGAAGGCAGGACAAGAAGCAATAGATGGGGAATAATCAAGGAGAGAGCCAACCTAGAACTAAGGAGAAATTTCCTGAGAGTTAGAAAAATTAAATCAGTGGAACAATCTGCCTCCAAAAGCTGTGAATGCTCCAACACTGGAAGTTTTTAAGAAGAGATTGGACAGCCATTTGTCTGAAATGGTATAGGGTGTCCTGCCTGAGTAGGAGGTTGGACTAGAAGACCTCCTAGGTCCCTTCCAACTCTGTTGTTGTTGTTGTTACTTTGGGTCAATGGGTGGAAACTGCAGGCAAGCCAAGCTCTCTGATACATTCAGAGAATCTTTCTGATGGAATGAGGTAAGCACCAATAAAATCTTGTCTCAAAGCAGGTGATTTATTGTGTCCCAAAGAGCAAGGGGATTGGGTTACATGTCCTTTTACATTTCTTTCCAATTGTATAATTCTGTGACAAATTTCATGTCTCCTGCATTACGTTTTATGGGAGAGTTTGGTCATGCTACTGTCTGCATGCGTTGCGTTCAAGGGTTCTTCAGAATAGATTGACCTGAAACTACTTTGAGACCCAGTTGTAGTTTATATGTTATCTATTATCTATTGTGTAGTCCTCAAATACTTTGGCCACCTAATGAGAAGGAAGGACTCACTGGAGAAGAGCCTAATGCTGGGAAAGATTGAGGGCAATAGAAGAAGGGGACGACAGAGAATGAGGTGGCTGGATGGAGTCACTGAAGCAGTAGGCGTGAGCTTAAATGGACTCCAGAAGATGGTAGAGGACAGGAAGGCCTGGAGGAACATTGTCCATGGGGTCACGATGGGTCGGACATGACTTTGCAGCTAATAACAACAACAACATGTGTAGTCCATTTACTTTAACCTCTTCTTTGTTCTCTAGGCAGCACTGCAAGTGGGTGGCCATGGAGAGCGGCTGCACCAGTGCCGGGAAGTGGTACTTACCACATCCAAAGCCATCCCCATGCAAGTGGATGGGGAACCTTGCAAGCTGGGAGCTTCCTGCATACGCATTTCATTGCGCAACCAAGCAAACATGGTGCAGAAGACCAAGAGGAGAAACTCCATGCCTCTTTTGAATGAGTATGTACCCTAGGGAGGATCTCCCAGGCTTTGCTACAAGGAAGAAAGGCGGTCTCACCAGTTCACATTATTCAGCTTTGCTACAGTTTCTATTGGATTTCTATCATACCCCAAAGTCTAAGACTCAATGTCAGGGAAGGTTCTAAGGCTATAAGACAGTTTTATAGCTCCCTGAAATTTTAGCCAATATATTTAATTTTGAATATTCATTACTTTATCTTAAATAGGTTCTTATGACAAGTTTGAAAGTGTTAGGTGGAGGCTGTATAAGACATTAGGAAATCAAAAAGAATTAATTTCTCTGCCAATAGTGTAAAAGCTTCAGTAACAATTCTCTACTTAACCCGTCAAATCCAAAAAACTTTGGAGGCAATCACAATGTTCTCCTCAGATGATTTTATTTCGAAGATTCAAAGTTGTTCCAGATTCCTAGTAACCAGATTAAAAAAAATTGAGAAAGGGATGTTTCATGTATGTTACAAATAGGTTTCTGGTAAAGTAAAATTATTTCATTGGCCTACTATCAGAATATGTTAGGGAATAGAGAGTAATTTTACTAATTCCCGGACATTGATAATTACATATTTTGGGAAATCTTAGAAGCTTCTTTCTTGGGATGGATGAGTTATGTCATAGAATACATTCAAATTACATAAAAGTGCAGGTCTGGTAAAAAAAAAGCCATTTATATCTGTTTAAGCAATACTTCCTGTTTTCTGGAGGGCAACTATACAGTAGCGTGGATTCCCCTGATCCCCATTTAAAATGACAGTAGTAGATTGTCAATATTACTCTTCATATTTAGCCTTATCCCAGAGGATACAAATGCACGTAGCTTTGCTGCCTGCTTGCATTGGCCAGGTGAGTTTTTCTTCGGTAGCTATTAAACATTTCTCTCCGAATGGAACTATGTGTGCAACATGCAGCTGTTGAGCATGCTTGTACACAACTAAGAGAAGTTTGTTGGAAACCTGACACATTTGAGATTATTGCTGTTGTTAGAAAATATTGCCTGTCACCTTCTCAGTCAGTAGCATCTCCTCTTTCCTTTTTGCGCGCCATAGTGTTGTCCTCCCTAATTTTTCAAGCGTGTTTGCTTCTTTCTTTTCAGTCAGCAACCAGTTCCAGAACGGTTAAGAATCCGTGTAAGCCGAATTGGCATGCATGACTATGAGGCACTTCATTACGACAAGGAGAAACTCAAAGAAGCCTGTAAGTAATTGGGGGGATTTGTTTAAATAGAAAGGCCAAGCACATCTGGAATTTGGAGTGGTTTGTTTATTATTGTACCCACTTTCTCTCAATAGCTGGTAAGTGACTAATGTTAAAATAAGGCCTCCTTTGGCCTTTGTGACACGCTGAATAAGTTGAATATTAAAAAGGCCTTGCATCAGAATGTGAGAAATAGCACACTTTTAGAAATAGCGTTTAGTCCACAATGTAAATCCATTTTTTGCACATAGGTTTCCCCCCCAGAAGTGTTGATGAGCTAGCAGTTTCTCAGGGGCTTATAAGCCAAAGTAAAATACTTGGATACTGAACAATCATAACAAATGTGGTTAGCAGGAAAAAGTAATTGCATTTTTTTTTTTTCCAGCCGTGCCTTTAGGAATTATCGTGGTTCCAGGAGACAGTGATTTGGAATTATGCCGGAGCCACATTGAAAGGCTTCAAGAGGTGAGTTGCCAGAAAAACTATTGTAAGGGGGAAAGTGCAATCTTGCTACACTTTAATGACTTGTCAGACTGCATGCCCTATATCCTTACTTCAGTAGTATGTGTACTTCCACAGTGATAATGCTTTTTTTTGTTTTGAAATTAAAAGCAAAGAATGCATAAGGAGATATTCTTGTTCCCAGTTCACTGTACCATAGTGAAAAAAAGGAAGAGGTTTATTTTTGTTTAAATTCAGAATTCTTCCATACATGCTCTGGCAAAGAATTCGGGTTGAGCTGTAAAAATACCATTTGTATAAAAGAAATATGTAGATAAAACGAGGAGTAGGAAATCCAGATGGAGTCACTGATTTCTGGGGAAGTTATGGCAAACTGAAAAAATCTTTGCAATAACAGAGCTGAACACCATGATAGAAACAAAAGAACCACTGAAAGGTTTCAGAAGGTGAGTAGATCAGTTTTTCAGAACCTCCCAGATAAGGAGAGGACAAGAGATCACCTGCGTGGGTTCCAGATGGCTGCACTTCACGAGGAGATCATAGAACAGCGGTCTTCCCCAGGTTTAAGTCCTGGGGGAACAAAGGGATTAATTATCTTGCTCATAACCACAGTGGAGCTTTTTAAAGGACACTAAGTTCACAAGCCTCACTTTCTAATTCTTTTTTTTTGGGGGGGGGGGAATTACCTTTTAACCATCTTAAAATTGCTAGAGATCTTTGAAATGACAAATCTGAAAAGTTGTCGAGTACATTTAGCTACAACTCTGAATAAAAGAAAAATTAATCACTATCTTAAGAACTGACAGAATTTGAAATAAACAGTAAAAATTAAATAAGATTTTGATCTCAGAAAGTTACAAATGGAGTAAGGGTAAGTACATTTGGAATATTGATTTTAACTATAAGGTTTCAGAATAAACTATAAAAAAGGTAGAGCTTCTCATGGAAATTAGAATTATTTTGAACTATCTTAGTTCATAAGATAAACAACTTTATAATTTTAGAAACTGAACACCAGAGGTGACTAAAGATTTTAAGTAGAAGGGGAAAAATGCAAGCCAACTTTTGGTGACAGTTAACTGGTATTTAAGATAAGATAAGATAAGATAAGATAAGATAACCTTTATTGTCATTTTTATACTGTGGGCACAATGGCACACATCAAAAATGAAATTTAGTTGCCCGCTCTCAAAGTGAAACACATACATGACACACACCTAAACATACTATGAACAACATATGTATAGACCCACATCCCTACATACAGTATACGTAGCAAATAAATATTAAATATTGTCCATCTTGAATATATAACGGAAGGAGGAAGCTTGACACAAAACATTGTAACATTGACACAAAACATTGTAACATTGGAAATACTCAAGAAGAATTTTGAAGAAAGGATCCAGAAATTAGTAGTTACAGTATTAGTAATAATGTCTGACCATATGGATAGGTTCAAAGATGTCAATGAGGCAATGGCAGATATGAAGTAAGTAAACTTTTAAGTGAAGTTGCGGACTTTTTGCTGACACACATTGAAAAGTTGATGTTTTATACATTTGCTTATTATAAGCAAGGGAAGTGATATGGAATGAAGAAATAAGTATCTAACCTTATAGGGCTAAAGTTGTCTATATTTATTGTAATAAAAGTTGGAAGTCTTTGTAGTTTTCTTTTCCATATTTTTTCTTGCACTTTTTTTCTTATTATTGTCTTCCTTTAAGTTTAGTTTGTATTACTTTTTAACTATTGTGATCAATATCCATAATAATCATATGTAAAAAAAGAAATACAGATAGGATATGCAGTATGATAATTTAATCCATCTGAACTACCAAATTAATTGAAAGGAGATATGTAAATATCCATAATCAATAAAGAATTGCCCTTGTTATAATCTAGCAGTGTTTCTCAACCTTGACAATTTTAAGGCATGTGGAATTCTGGGAGTTGAAGTCCACATGCCTTAAAATTGTCAAGGTTGAGAACCACTGATCTAGAGTGCCACCATAACTACTCAAGAGGATGGATAGGGGAAAATAAGTAATATTTATTCTCATATCACTTAATATTCTCAAAGAGACATTCCGAACAAAGTTTTAATCCTACTTGATTTGCAAGACAGAGACAAGTGCTTTTCACAATGACTCATTCTCAAATCAAGAGAGAACTTCAGTTGGGAAAGGTTTCGGCATGTTGTTTCTCCTCTTTATTCAACCTTAAATCTAAAAACCCATCATAGACCTTTATGGCCTATGTCTAAGAGAAGCTTGAATTTTATCAGAAAATATTTACAAGCAATATTCCAAATTCCCTTTCAACAGACTCATCCTGCTGTTTTCCTCCTTTAGCTTACAGTTTGAATGTATGGAAGAGGCCCCTTCTAGAAAGAGCAGCTTTCTCTTACTGGGTAGTTTCAAGTGATTTTCCTATCCAGCTCAACTAATTGCTATTCATCTGGGACACCAAGTTTGGGAAGATTGCTCTTGAAACTAGATTTAACCGAAGAAAATAGAATAAAATGGGTGTTCATTTACTTCTAACCCCCTCTCCTTTCTGCACTCTCTTTCGTACATTTTGGGTTCATTCTTTGTCTAGTACTTGGTTATCAACCAGGTAATGAAGAAAGCAAATGTTTAGGCTAGTAGGGTCCTGAAACTTTACATCTCTCAGTTTCTTCAGCTAGTTGGACTATTATAGAAAAGAGTTACGAAAGTGGTTCATTTAGTGGAAACATATGATACAAACTGTGATAGCGTAGTCCAGGGGTAGTCAACCTTGGCTCTTTTATGACTCGTGGACTTCAACTCCCAGAATTCCTAAGCCAGCTGGTGTAGTCCTTGAATTACTGGGATGGTGTTTTTGAGCACTTAGGTTCTACTGTCAGTTCCTCTCTTCAAAGTCTCCTTATGACTTGTGACAGTTGACCCACAGGCTCGTCAAAGATATGACATGCACCTACAAATCTCAGTGAAAGCTATACAAGCTTTTTATTGGGGGGGGAGGGTGCCTTCAACATTTCAGAGATGTTTTGCCATTGCCTCCTTCCTAGGGCTGAGAAGGTGTGACTGGTTCAAAGTCACCCAGCTGGTTTTGTGCCTAAGGTGGGACTAGAATTCAAAGTCTCCCAGTTTCTAATTTGGTACCTTAACCACTACACAAAACTGGATCTCTAATGAAGTTCTTCATTACTGTTATGGTAACTCAGCTCCTTCCCTTTCCACAGGACTTCTCTTCTTGTACTTCCACTATTCAGAATCTGTTTCCTCAGGTGTGTATCTTTTTCTCTCTCCTTACCTGTGAGTCCTCTTTTTCCTTCTACTGCTTCCATACAGTGTGATTAGCTTGCATCAGTACCTGTTCAGTGATATTTGGGGCATGTTTGTTGAGCTGTACAACTTTATGCTCTAGTTCTATGCCACACTATTTGACAATACCTGGGTTATATAGGTAAGAAAAAGAACACAGAAGAGACAGTAAGTGTTCCTAGATGAAATAGGAATACAGGGCAATTTATTTTTTTATTGTTCATTTATTTTGATCCAGGAGGGAGATGGAGTCAAACCAAAGACATTGTCATGCCAGAAGCTCTCCCCCAAATGGTGCTTCCTAGACTGTGAGTACATATGACTGTGGTTACTTCAGTATCCGTAAACTTTACAATCACTATGTGGGAACTGTTGCATTAAAGATTTCCCATGCTACCATCTTGGGAAAATCTTGCCACTATTGCTGGCACCACAGTAGAAAATGTTTCCATAATAGGATTTTATTTTCCTTTCACATGGAAGTTAATGGCATTTGGCTGCACCTTTGGAAAGTTCCTTTGTTCTGAATTGCTTTCTCTGACCATTTTTTTGGCTATTCTTGAATACATACCAGATAGAAGGAACTTTTCAGGATTTAATGCAGGAATCACTAAAACATTGAATTGGAGGGGGCTCTGGTATGTTAGTTATTGAGTGCAATACTCCTGCTCAGTTCAAGAATCAACAATTAAATAATCCCAGGCAAGCAGCTAGCTGTCCCCTGCTGGAACTAAACTTTTAAAGTGGAGCCTTTCTGATTTTTTTTTTAACCCGATACTCAATCTTTTGTTTTTATAACTTAAATTCCTTATTCCATGTCCTACACTCTGGAATGGGAGAAAGCTGGTTTTGACTTTTCTTCCATTTGATGTCCTTCTGGTAGGTATTTGAAGAACACTATCATATATCCCTCCATTGTCTGTTCTTAAAATTAAATCTAACCAGCATTTTCAAACTGTTTCTTGTCCTCTGTTCATCGATATCACCCTCTGAATCTGATCTGGTCCAGTTTCTCTGAAATGTCCTTAAAGAACTAAACTCAGTACTTGAACTGCCTTGGCTATTTTTTGCAGGAACATCACTATGCAGCACAACACTATTCCAGTTTCTCATGCATAAGTAGAAAATAAAAATATAAGCCCAGAGTACAGTTACAGTATACACATTATATACTGTAATATTTTTATATACAGTATATAATATAAAATATTTTTATATTTTTAAGCAAGTAATTTTTCACTTCTCTCTGCTAAATTCAATTTAGCCTCTTTCTCTAGTGAGAGATTATAGATTTTATGTATGTCTGTTTATAGTATTAGGTATCCTGCCTAATTTTGTTTCTCCTTCTAAGCCAGGGGTGTCAAATTGCCGGCCCACAGGCCGGACACATCACATGGAAGCCGCGCCCACCCCATTGCCGGCAATGGCAAAACCAGCCTGATACATTGTGCGACGTCACGTGATGTCGCGAGTTTGACATGCCTGTTCTAAGCCCTGCATGCAAATATGAGTTTGCACTCCCTCATCTACTTTACCTGAAAAGTTGGTGGAGGAATAAGTGTAGTTAAATTTAACATTTGTTGTTAGTGGTAACAGAGTTACTGCATTTGGACTGCAATGATCCCACATCGTGACGAGAACATACAGAAAACTTTATCTCTGAAACTGTCAAGTGTTCTAGATTTTGGCAGTTCAGATATGGTAGCCCTGAATTTGGTTTAATTGATTAGAGAGCAACATAAGACATGAACAGATGCTTAATAGATATTCTGGGTCTATATGCACTAATTGGGGGACAAAAATACTGTGTTAAAAAGTAGGTGTGTGAAAAGAATTGTTTGATGATGATGATGGAAGGGATCTTGGAGATAATCTAGTCCAACCCCCTGCTCAGGCAGAAAACCCTATACTATTTCAGACAAATGGCTGTCCAGTCTCTTCTGAAAAACGTCCAATGTTGGAACATTCACAGCTTCTGGAGGCAGGTTGTTCCACTGATTAATTGTTCTAGCTGTCAGGAAATTTCTCCTTAGTTCTAGGTTGTTTCTCTCTTTGGTTAGTTTCCATCCGTTGTTTCTTGTCCTTCCTTCAGGCACTTTGGAGAATAGCTTGACTCCCTCTTCTTTGTGGCAGCCCCTGAGATATTGGAACATTGCTATCATGTCCCCCCTCATCCTTCTCTTCATTAAACTAGACATACCCAATTCCAGCAACTGTTCCTTATATGTTTTAGCCTCCAGTCCCCTGATCATCTTTGTTGCTCTTCTCTGTACTCTTTCTAGAGTCTCAACATCTTTTTTACATTGTGTTGACCAAAACTGGATGCAGTATTCCAAGTGTGGCCTCTCCAAGGCATTGTAAAGTGGTATTAACATTTCAGATGATCTTAATTCTATCCCTCTGTTAATACAGCCCAGCACTGTGTTGGCTTTTTTGGCAGCTGCAGCACATTGCTGGCTCATATTTAGGTGATTGTCCACTAGGACTCTAGGATCCCTCTCACAGTTGCTACTATTGAGCAAGGTACCACCTATACCAGTGGTGGCGAACCTATGGCACGGGTGCCAGAGGCGGCACTCGGAGCCCTCTCTGTGGGCACACGTGCCGTCGCCCCAGTCCTAGGCCTTCAGCTGGGTTTTATAAAACCTTTTCGCTTTAGGCCTCCGCCACCGTGTACAAAAAAAAAAAGGTTCAATCAATCAGTCAATTTCAACTTCTCGTGGGAAAAAAAAGATCTTGCAAAGTTGGAATTGATTGATTGAACTTTTTAGCCCCACTCAGTCTGCTGTTACCACCGCAGCCACGCACACCCACCTGGCACCCGACGATGCATAAGTGGGTTTTGGGTTGCAGTTTGGGCACTCGGTCTCTAAAAGGTTCGCCATCACTGACCTATACTATACCTGTACATTTGGTTTTTCTTGCCCAAAGAAAAATTCAGTGCGTGGAGAATATTTTTGCCTGAGGTCAGCACTAATTTTCAGGAAAGGATATCTCAATCTATATGCCAGCAGCAACAAAATTGGGATTGGAAATGGACAGGACAACCCACTTACTCTTTCCCCACCTCTTTTTCTCTCCAACGGATGGTAAAGTACTGTAGCACCATCAGAACAGGAGGCAGCTTCAAAATCTCTTTATAAGTATTGCATAAAATACTTAGACATCTACAAACATAAAATAATCTACTCTTATGTTTGGTCCCGTAAGCTTTCCAACTCATTGTTGTAATTAGACAGAAGCCATAATTCACTTTACTCTCATTGCAATTCACTAAATCATTTGAGTTCTAGATTACTAGGTTGGAATAAGCCATTCATTTGTACTCCAAGTTAGGGAAGGTCTGTATATCTGAGCAATAGAATCTGTGCTTTCTTTGTAGAATGTCCTTGGTTCGGTTCTTGACATCTCTAGATTAGAGAGAGCACACTTAGGTCTGAATTAAAGAGCAAATGGCAATCATTATACAACAGTGTCATTTTACAATATAAATATCAGGGTCCATTTAGATGGATTAACAGCTTATATAAGAAGGCTTTTTGTGTTTCAGAAGAATAGAACCTTAGCTTCAAGGAAAAGTCTTGAACACACTTCACTTTCATCCAATTACGGAACTTTGGACTATCCAAAATTTGAGGGAGTTTATACCGTTGGCATCTGTTGCTATTTCTCCATGTTGGGACAATTTGGGATAGATAAGAGGTGGTAAATTTTCTACAAGTTGATTACAATAACAGTTTCTTAACAGAGGGTTTTGAAACTTTAATTTTGTCTTTTTTATTGTTGTTCTTGTTAACTATTTTGACATTAATATAGTAGATAGATGACAGGTTAACAAAGATGATTAGGGGACTGGAGGCTAAAGCATATAAGGAATGGTTGCTGGAATTGGGTATATCTAGTTTAACGAAGAGAAGGATGAGGGGGGACATGATAGCAGTGTTCCAATATCTCAGGGGCTGCCACAAAGAAGAAGGAGTGAAGCTATTCTCCAAGGCGCCTGAAGGCAGGACGAGAAGCAACGGGTGGAAACTAATCAAGGAGAGAAGCAACGTAGAACTAAGGAAGAACTTCCTGACAGTGAGAACAATTAACCAGTGGAACAACCTGCCTCCAGAAGCAGTGAATGCTCCAACACTGGAGGTTTTTAAGAAGAGACTGGACAGCCATTTGTCCGAAATGATATAGGGCTTCCTGCCTGAGCAGGGGGTTGGACTAGATGACCTCCAAGGTCCCTTCCAACTTTACTATTATTATTATTATTAATAATAATAATAATAATAATAATAATAATAATAATAATAATAATAATAATAATAATAATAATAATAATAATAATAATAATTTGCAAATATATTTAGTAGTTTAAAAATTTGGGGGGGCAGTTTTACAAAGGGTGGGAAACTAATATTCTAATAAGCAGTATTCAACTGGGGAGATAATTTCTTAAGGGTTTTTTCTTTTTTTAATGCACTTTTTTAATGTCTTGTTTGTTTTGTGTTTTTTCTTAGTTTTTTTTAAAAGATTTTGAAGGTTTATATTTTAACTTTTTTTGAATAAAAATAAAAAGAGGAAAAAAGAACTAATGGCAGTCCTTATACAACAACAGTGTCATTTTACAATATAAATATCAGGGTCCATTTAGTTGGATGAGCAGCATATATAAGAAGGCTTTTGTGTTTCAAAAAAAATAGAGCCTTGGCTTCAAGGAAATGTCTTTGAACAAGCTTCGTTTTCATTCAGTTATGGAACCTTTTGACTATCCAAAATTTGAGGGAGGACTTTATACCGTTGCCATCTGTTGCCATTTCTCCACGTTGGACTGAATGGTAATGCCTGAATGAGATTATTCCTTGGCCAGCAGATGGCTCTACAGGAAAAGGCTGAGGAAAATAAAGCAGTTTCACCATAACCTAGCTAAGAATTCCCAGAAACAATGAATACCAATGAATTTGCTGCAGTAAAAAGTTGCCTTTTGTGCATCAAATTCAATTATAGCTTTTTTTGGGGGGGGGAACAAGAGAAGGCAAAGTAATAACAATTGGTTTCATTATTTTGTTTCCCTCCTTGCTGGGTCTGTGACCCAACCAGCTGTGTTTTGCAAAAATTCCCAAGTGCTCGGCAGAACAGCAGAAACTTTGTTTACAAACACAGTTTTGTTCCAACTTCTTTCCCAGCTATAATTTGCCCCCTACCTGAAGGCCTTCCTAAAGCTTTCAGTTGCACTTTTCACTTTTAGTAGCACGCTTCAGCTCTTTTTAAGGTTTTAGTTTAAGCAAGACTCTGAGACTCTCCCACAGGCTCAGACAATGGGAGCTTTTGTCCCCCTGTAGCAAAGCTGGAATAAGTTCCCAAACACACAGGGAGCAGTTTGCATGGTTTTGGGAGTCTGTTGACGCAGCACATCCCTCCGGGCCTCCCTTCAGTAAAGTTATAGTGGGCAATTGGAACAAAGCTGTAGAGATCTAATAGATGGGGACAACATGCGATACAGTGGGATTTAACCAGGATAGATACTGGAGAGTGCAGAAAGTTAAAAAAAAAAATGGACAGGCCACAATGAAGACTGAGGAGAGGACACTGGGAGAGATTCATGTCTTACAAGTTCTTTTTATATACGGTAATACTGATAGATTGAACCTTGTTCTATATTCTTCCTTCTAATCAAGGTGTGTAAGAGAGAAAGAAAGAGTAATTTGTTTCACTGATTTCTTCTGCTTTCCTGATTCCATTTGTTTGTTTTTTCATACTTCTTAACTGCCCGTCTCTCTCCCTCCCTTTTGTGTGGACTTTTAAAAATCTTTCCTCTGTCTCCACTCCCTCCGGGAACTCGGAATGGGACCTTTAGGCTCCCACCCTTGACCACGCCTCCTTCACCTCACACCTCACGCTTCCGCCCATTTACCTCCAGCGTTCCTCCTCAGCGGGGCCCTCCCCTGCTCAATGGGCCCCTTGCCCTCCACCCTGTGCCCTTCGGCCTGGCCGTTTCACCGAGGCACCCTTTGTCCCGGGCCTTTGGCTGTGCAGGACAGATAGCTGCCAGCCAATCGGGTGGGTGGCAGGGAGAAGCCATGGTGCTGCAAAGGGGCAGCATGCAGTGCGTGATTGCAGGGGCTGTGTTGTGGGGCAGCAGGCGAACATCAGGGCCTGCGCGACTTCTCCAATTGAGGGGGGTGGGGGTGAATAGGCGAACGGCAGGGCTGGCGCAGCTCCTGCCATTGTGGGGGGGGGGCGGCCTGGTGTGGGACAGCAGGCGAATGGCGCATTATCCGGCACATTCATTTCGTGTATTAAACAAGCAAAGCACCAAATGTCTGTCTCAGAAACGTATGGTTATCATATGTTTGTGAAGTCGAGCCTGCCGATTAAATGCATTTAAAATTTAATTTTCTTTGCATGCTGCTTGCCTGCTGCCCCATAACGCAGCCCCTGCGATTGCCCATGGCTTCTGCCTGCAGCACCCTGGCTTCTGCCTGCTACCCACCCAATTGGCTGGCGGCTATCTGTCCCTTGCAGCCAAAGGCCCAGGACAAAGGGTGCCTCGGTGAAACGGCCAGGTCAAAGGGCACAGGGTGGAGGGCAACGGTCTCATTGGCCAGGGAGAATGGGTGGGGGAGGGCCAGCCAAGGAGGAACATTGGAGGTAAATGGGCAGAGGCAAAAGGCGAGAGGTGAAGGAGGCGTGGCCCAGGGTGGGAGCCTTATGCTCCTAGACCCCAAGGAACTGTGGGATACTATGTACATCACTGTATAATCTTGTTCCCAAATAAAGAAATGACATCACCAGTCCTGATGCACAACATACAGGCACATGGACCCATTTGATTATGGGATCCCAGTGAGAAGAGGCCATCCCTTTTGTGCCCCCGTATGAGGATCCTGTTCCCAGATATTGTTGCTGCAGATTGTTTCCTCTTTTTCTGCCAGTTTCCCAGCAGCATGTTCCAAATAGAGGAAAATGTGTCATTGGAGGGGGGAAAAAAAAGCTGGAGTGGTATTCAGGGGCAACACAGGCTCATTAAAATGGTTGAATTACTGGCCTTCATCAACAGCTCCACGACTGTAAATCTCTCCCCAGGACAGGATAAACGCGGCTCTTTCAGTCGTCTAATCTGCTCTGGCTTGTGTCACGAGCTCCCCTCCCTTCCCCATCACTTCTGCTCTATTCCCAAAGAAAATTCCCCAGTCTTTCTAGGGTCCAGCCATAGCAACCTCAGCTTGGCCACAGCATTCTGGAGATCCAAAAGAAGTAAAGAAAGTTCTGTAAGTCAACAAAATGTAGTCACCTGGGCTGTAGTTTCCTAGCTGAATGCTCTGAATGCCCAGAGCCTTGGTACAGACATATGGAGGCAAAACAAAAGTTCTGATCTATTTGGGTGTGAGCATCCAATAACACTAAAGAGTATTGATGATTCTGATCTATTGGGAGTGAGCACTTCCCCTCCATTTCCATATAGCTCAGCCACTTGCTCCCGGCTTTTGGATGCATTGGAAGCTCAACAACGTATCAGAAGGGCCCCAAACTGGGAAACTGAATCCCTCTATATTTTCTTTATAAACCAGCAATGCCTTTTGAGTAAGACAGCAAATTCCCCTATTGTTGGAAGGCAGAAGACAGCTTTCTAACATGTCGCAGAAGCATTGTCAGAAAAAGAGTTGTCTTGGTATCATGGCTTGTATCCTATCTACTTGCTAATCTACCTTAGCCTTAGGTGAAATGAGTCAGGAACCTTCTGGAAAAGTTGGAAAATCATAGACTTTTTAAATTAGACATCAGCAAATTATTTACATAGTTGCAGTCGTATTCTGAAAGTCTATACCAGGGATGGCAAACCTTTTAGAGACCGAGTGCCCAAACTGCAACCCAAAACCCACTTATGTATTGTCGGGTGCCGGGTGGGCGTGGCCCATTGGGTGTGTGTGTGTGTGGCCAATTGGGTGGGCGTGGCTGCAGTGGTAAAGGCAGACTGGGTGGGACTAAAAAGTTCAGTCAATTACAACTTTGCGAGATCTTTTTTTTTTGTGAGAAGTTGAAATTGATTGATTGATTGAACCTTTTTTTTTTTTGCACGCGGCAGCGGAGACCTAAAATGAAATGGTTTTATAAAACCCAGCTGAAGGCCTAGGACTGGGGCGACAGCGCGCGTGCCCACAGAGAGGGCTCTGCGTGCCATCTGTGGCACGCGTGCCATCGGTTCACCACCACGGGTCTATACGAATGCTAGCCAGAGTGCCCTTACATCATCCTAATTGGGTGTGTATGTGCATTCACTGATCTTGGTGGAGAAAGAAATGTGTATAACATGGTGTGATGAAGCATTTAGGAGTAGCCAGTTCTTGTTTTATTCCTCATGGAACTTTTTATGTCACTTAAACTGTCAAAGATGGGAGTAACTCCTGCTAACACGAATCCTTGGCACTCAATGGATTTTATTTAATTTTAATTATTCTTTCATTGATTAACAGATAGTGATGATAATAACCTATCAGTTTAAATGTCAAGATATGAAAGTGAGTTTTATATTCAGTACGATACGCATATATGTCACACCGAGTATATTGTTAAGTGAATGAGATTTTGTCAAAACTCATTATATTTAGCATACGCAACCATGTAACAAGAAAAAAGAAAGCACATTTTAATGAAGCTGATTTCTTTATTTGTACTCAAGCAAGATGACTAAAAATAAGAGAATAATTGGATCTGTTTACCTTAATGCAGTAAATCATGTTTTATTAAAATGGCTAACAACGTTGACACTATATGTCAGGTTTATTGTATTCAGCATTCAATTATGGAATATTCCCTTGAGTTCAGAATTCAACGTCTTTCAGTTCTCTCTTTGGAAAGGCAAATTCCAGGGCTTTCTGCTACACAGATATATTGGGAAGTAGATAGACAATATCAGTTAAATATAAATATATAGGGTTTCCTGCCTGAGCAGGGGGTTGGACTAGATGACCTCCAAGATCCCTTCCAACTTTTGTATTATTATTATTATTATTATTATTATTATTATTATTATTATTATTATTATTATTATTATTATTATTATTATTATTATTATTATTATTATTATATTGAGAAAATGAATGAAGGCACTTAATAACTTTCTGGGATTCTGTATAAATACCAAATAACTTATGTATTTCTTTTACAGCAACCACCGCAGATCGTTTTTATAGAATAGACCGTGCCCAGGTGAGCTTTACTTTGTTGTCCAAAGAGAGTGGACAATGAGCTTCTCCAATAAATAAAAAATAAAAAGTATATTTTTATGCTTTTTATAAAATAATATATGATTTTTACATACATCTTAGTTTTTAATTTCTTTTTCAAATATTCAGTACTACTTTCAGAAATAGTTATTATCTCGAGCTAGGTTTTGTTTCTGTTTGTTTTTGATGTATTTATATAGAAAAAAAAACAATTGTAGTGGTTTGCTGCATATTATCAAATGATATTGATTGAAGTCCTGACTAGATAATAATAGTAGAAAAATTCTGTCCCTAAAATTATTTATCTATATAATTCCAGGAACATCTTAATTATGTAACAGAGATCACCCAGGATGAGTTGTTTGTGTTAGACCCAGAACTAGTGCGCACTCAAACAGTGGGCACATCTCCTGCCATGCCTGACCTTGTTGATGTTCCCTCAACACCTACAAAGCAACACCTTCCTCTCCCAATTTCACCACCGTCTACACCAGTCTCCAGGTGAGGCTGTCTGCTTGGGGACTAGAGGTAAGAAAGACCAGGCTAGATTAAGGGAAGGACCCCAAGGAAAAATAGCTTAAGGTTTTATACAAAATGGGGAATGAGAATTCAGTCTTTGTGAGTTGAATCTTTGAACTGGGATAGGAGGGCTTATTTGTCAGCTCCATGAGAAATACCAGGCTATAAAATCAACTCCACAGGATGGCTACAACAACCTCTGTTGAGATTGACTGTACTAACAACATTTTGCAAGTCTGGTTGTGCTGTACCTCCTCCTCCTCCTCAGTCTTGTAGTTCAGTGAATTACGGAAGTGTCAGCCTGAGCCACTTCCAAAGGTTATCTGAATGTTCTGGACTTTAAAAAGTGTATTAGTCCTTTTTGCCTGGGCAACAGCACCTATGTTAAGGTCATATTCCTTACTCTCTATACCCATAGCTTCAATAATTGGAATATTGGATAATCTGTTTTAATTTTAACGGAATGGCACGGTGGTTCAAACTGGGTGAACAAGCCAAGATAGAAGATGTGAATTCCTGAAAACGGATTTCAAATGGCTTAATTCCTTAAATAGCACAAATCAGAATTACCAATTTATAGGAACAGCAGGATCTTCCCCTATTCTGTCTCTTTGATTCTAGGCAAATAGAGAGGAATTCTTATAGAAGGGAGGGCCTTGAATAGGAAGGACCTGTTTTTTAGCTTTGAATCTTTCTTGTTTTGTTCTTCCAGCTCAGCAGTGGACGGCAGCCAGACCCTTAAAGGTGAGGCCTTTTGTTGACTATATGGACTTGCGGTATAATTTGTTTCTAACTTTTTTTAGCATAACTGATACAATCTATGGAATTGAGAAGTGGGAAGCGTCAGTGCTGTGTCCAGTTATATTTATTTGAATATTCACACTTGGGGAAAGACGTTTGATCACCAATGTGCTTGCTCATGCAGGTGAGATCTCACATTGGGATATGTCCAGATTTGAAAACGAGTGTTTTAGTACAGCTTGCAGTAGAGTTTACTTTTAGCATCTGGTAGGTGACATTTAGATATAAGAGCATTACAGAACTACAAAGATACAAGCAGAAGCCAGGCTAGAACACTATGCAAATGTTCTCTAATGCAGGAAAATTAAAGTTTTATTCATCCCTGCTGCAACAGGAATTTAAAGTTGCTGGAATCCTGCTTGGGGAATTCTTTCTGGAGAGCACCTGCTTGGATGATGGTTCTCAAGGCAAGAAGCATTGGCTTTGCATACTGCCTTCCTCAACTCACAACATTTGGGAGAAAATGTCACAGTGATAACAAAGTTAATCTTCCACCTGTAGCAGCATGGGATGCAAGGAAAAGCAGCAGGATTAAGGTCTGCCAGATGCCAGTCAGGGACCTCTTTCAGTTGACCAAATGAAAAGTGTTTCCTAGGGTTGAATAGAGTATAATTCCTCGAAATATGAACCATTGATAAGGCATCTTCCAGGTACCATCTCCTTGAGGGCATCTGCTTTCCTCTTCCCTGTTCACCTTTTCTGCCTCATCTTTTCATGCTGACTAGTCATTTATGCTATGAAAGGAATCTGCAGGGTTTTTTTCTGCCATAAAGCCAGAAAAGTGTCCAAAAACCATCACAAAATGGCTGCCCTGAGGACTACCCTAATGACATCGAGCACGTTCTTTCCTAATTGATCAGTTACAAAAGACATATTGGATAAAATACCTATTTCTCAGGAGAGCAAATGATAATGCCAATAGGAAAAAGGCTTAGACAAAAAATGTACAAATTTAAAAATGCCTGGACATCCATGGGTGGGGGAGGGGGTTTAAGACAAATACAGAAATCTTCTAGGTAATACCTTCATAAAAAAAATGTACACTGGGAAGCTGTGTGATTTATTCCCTCATCCCTCTTTCCATCCCTGTATCTCCTTAGGACATTTTGATTAGGGAGCTAAAAAGTACAGATTTTAACTGGTTTACTCTCTTTCTTGACTTTGTCTTCCTTGGGAAGAGGATGACGTAGTGTGAGCACCTAAAGAGGTGTCATGAGTTTCACACTGGAGATCTGAGTCATGTGGTTTTCTCCCTCCTTGAATATTTTTGTTCTTCCCATATCCTGTGGCCTTCCTCCCTCTCTCCCCCCCCCCCCACTTTCCAGGTTGCACTTTCTTAATTTCCTCCATACCTTGTTTCTTAAATTCTCTACATCTGAGTTATGGATTAGGCTGGATGTTTGTGTGTGAGATTTGGAGTTGCAGGAAAAAGGAAACAGAATACTAGCAGCCTGTGAAGATCAGGGAATTTCACAAGTCTTATCAGTTGTACTACATCTATGTCTACAAAAATGAGTATCTAAGTAAGAGCAGTGAAACTTAAACAATGAAGTCCTTGGTGCTCTCTGAGCTTGATTGTTTTGTTTACAGACATTCCATTATCTGATTAGGTAAAATATAAGTGCTAGTGAATGTGGGGTTTGCTCCCTGTTTATATACAGCAGTTTACCCTGCCAGTATTGGTGGGGGGGGCTGTTTTCTCCTTGGTAGTTCAAGTAGAAAACAATACCCTAGTCAAGGAACTATCATTAGCACTGTAGTTGTGTAATAAACAGGATCTGCAAGCAAACAACCAAGCTCAGAGAGCACCAAGGACTCCACAGTTCAAGCCATTATCTTCTATTGAAATGTAAACAGTAGAACATTTACTCAGGAAACGATGAATTTGAATAAATTACCGTATCTTGCCTCCACAGCAACACATATTTTGCATCTAAATTTTTTTGGGGGGGCCTTATCTTTCCTCTTCCAGACACGCCCGATGGAGCTTACATTCCATGTCAGAAAAGTTTGCATGCATAAAACCAAATTTTGTTGGTTATTTTTAACATGTAAATTGGGGACCCTAATATGGGGATTCGCATCACTTTCTTCTTCCTTCTGTGAGCAAGTCCTCTGTCTATAGGTTTCCATAGGAGTGAAGCTCCCATTCAGTTAATTGGGAGTTTTTCCCCCCCTATATATATTGCAAGAATAGTGAGGGAGCCAATTCAGAATCTCCACAAGAAGCCAAAGGTTGTGCCTTTTCTCTCCTTTTTCACACTAGGATTCTATTCTTACTTCTTAATAAGAATAACAATTACAGGCTTCCCCCTCCTGATTAAAACCTCCAGAATTTTTGAGTTGCAACTTGTTTGAGATTGATGGAAGTAAGAGTTATCCTAGGTACACAAAAGTCACAAGTAATTTTATGAGGTTTTTCTGGATAGCTATCTCTGTTTTCATTAGCCACTTTCTGTCCCCAAGCAGAATTATTGTCAGTCCTCCCACCAGTTGCTGTTTCTTTGGCATTTGTCTTCCTCACATGTCTTGCCTTTTTTTTTTGTCAACTACTTCATTTTGCACTCTCCTGTCTCTTCTTTTACAGATGATGCTTTGATAGACGCTGCCAAGAATAACAATTTTTCCAAGGTAACAGCTCTGTTGTGTTAAAATCAAGCCGCAATGTTGAGAAGAATATAATAGAATATAGTACCTATGCCACAGCAGTAGTACCTATGCCACACCATTATCATCCATGGTGGTTTTATTTAGGGTTTGTATGTAACAGTGCCATTTGCATTACTTCTCAATCTTTTCCCAATCTCTTAGTGGTGCCAAGTGACTTGCTGATTTCAGCTCGCTTGTTATCCTTCAGCAGCCGTGCAGATTTCCTTTAAGACAGGTAGCCCTTTCATCCAGTGAATTCCTAATAGGCTCACCAAGGGCCTCCTACTTCTGTCAGAGCTTTATTGTGACACCTAGAAGATATGACCAGAATTGCGATTAATTTTCCAGTCAAGATATTTAGACAAGTTACAACTTAAAACTTTCAGTTTGGATGACAGACTTCTAAGAACTCGAATGAATTCCAGTTGTATGGATCTGACTAACACGAAAGCATACACATCCATAGTTTTGACTCCTGGCAACTTCATGGACAAGTCCCTACAAATGTTCTTGGCAAGATTTTGGAACTGGTTTGCCATTTCCTAGTTCCTAGGGCTGAACAAGAGTGACTGATCCAAGGTCATTCTGCTAGGTTTATGCCTAAGGCAAAACTACAACTCATGGTCTCCTGGTTTCTAGCCTGCTGCCTTAGCCACTAGACCAGGGGTAGGCAACCTTGGCTCTTTTATGACTCGTGAATTTCAACTCCCAGAATTCCTGAGTCAGCTATGCTGGCTCAGGAATTCTGAGAGTTGAAGTCCACGAGTCATAAAAGAGCCAAGGTTGCCTACCCCTGCACTAGACCAAACTACTTCAGCAGTACTAACTAATCTTGTTGAATTCAAGTGAGAATTTTAAATCCAGCTGCTGGTCCATAATGATCTCTGCTAGAAATATGTCGGGTGTCCTCTTTGTATCTATTCTTTCAGAACTCAGAGCAATTTGGCACAGCGTTTTATATTCAGTGTCAGAAATACCTATAATACAATCTTTATTACATTGTATTACAGGGAGATTTAGGATGTGTTCCTTGAGCCAGCTGTAAGTTAAGACAGTGCTTGCTGCAACAAAGAGAAGTAAAAGCCCATCAGATTACTCTGTTAATGTCTCTTAATAGTGTTCTTATCCTCTAAGATGATAGAGGATAAGAAGACAGGAAGAATTGTGATGAAACCGAGTAATTACTATTTATAAAGCATTAACTCTTTGGATCCTTGTAATTTATGAGTAGGCTGTTCAGTTCAGCACTTGTGTGAACTTCTGTGCTTTTTATGATCCGCAAGGATAATATTTTTCACATTCTATTGGCAATATCCTTGTTGTAGATCAGAATAGGGCCTCGTAATTCTGGTGCATCAGGATCAATCCTGTTATTATGATTGGGCTTGCATACCACCTTATTTCAGGCCGAAATGGGTTGGATAATGTGCGGTTCGGTGTGTTACAGTATTGCAGCCGTTATCTTAGCATGGTGTATAATAACTAAGGCATTACACCATAATATTGTTTGTTTGTTTGTTTGGTCCTATAGCACATTATGTGAAAGGAAATTGTTTTTAGTTAACCCAGATTTAGCAATCAGTGAATAGAGCAGAAGAGACCTGGCCGTTCGACTCTCTTGGATGATAAAGCAATGCTTTTGATATGGATAGAGCACCTGGTTAAGTCCATCAGCCAGATGTCCCTCACTGTTACCAGCCCAGAAATAGGATTTGGCTGCAAATTTACTCTTTTATGTGAAACAGTGAATGCAGAGAAGAACGCTATCTCACAGATTCTCTAAATATATCAGATCAGCTGCCTCTGATTACATCCAGTAATACTCTCCTTTGAATGGGAGACTGAAACATCCTTTTGCTGGAAAGGCCTTTTTAATTGCTTCTGGCTCGTACCACAATCCAAGTGATTAACTGTTAACTTCTTTTTCCCAGTAATCTCCTTTTGTTGCCGCTTGTTTTTTAAACTTTTGTGTAAATTGCTTTGATTGAGGCTTACCTCAGATAATGTCTGTATTGTGGCTCATTTCAAGTGATTCTGTGTTGCTCTAGTTCAAAGAATTGCACCAGGCTGGCAAAGACTTGATGATGCGTGATCCCACAGGCCAAACTGCCCTTCACCATGCTGTCAAATCAGGGAGTAAGGAGATTGTGAAATACATAATTGAAAATGGTAAGTCAGGTCAGCAAAATGGATGACCTTATTAGCGATGATTATTTTAATCAGTGGAAGAAACTAGTCAACCAGAGCAATAGATTTCAACATGCTACTTTTATTTTGGATTCTTGCCAGTGTTGTATGGCTGTGTAAAATGCTATACTGACTTCAGCCTTAAGTGCATGTTACAGATATTCTTCAAACATTAATTGAGGCTTGCCAATTAGAAACTGGTTGCCTGATGGGCCTGGCTAATCACAAAACACTTGTCTATCAGAAAGCCAACTAGTAATATCACTGCCCAGTTAACCCATAGCTTTATCCAGTGCTGTTCACTATTCCAGTTGGCGGTTATCTTTTCTCTGAGCAGACAGGCAAACAAAGCAGCGTTCTGATGTTCTTATTTTCTGAGAGAATCAGTGAACCTGTGGAAATCAATATGGCAATATGGCATCCATAGATTTTGTGAAAAGAGCTGGTCTAGTGATTAAAGCACCAGGCTAGAAGACAGAAGAAACCAGGAGATGGTGAGCTCTGGTCCTGCCTTAGGCACAAAAGCCAGATAGGTGACTCGGGGCCAGTCGCTCTCTCTCAGTCCAAATCATCTGACGAGGTTGTTCTTGTGGGGAAAATAGAAGGAAGAAGGCATATTACAGGGGTCTTCAAACTTACGCTGGCTGAGGAATTCTGGGAGTTGAAGTCCACAAGTCATAAAAGGGCCAGGTTTGAAGAACCCTGGCGTATTAGATATGTTGAGTTACTTATAAAAGTAATAAAGATGGGATATAATTAAATAAATAAAAATATATAAAAGCAGATTTGGAATACTAAGTATTAGAAGACGAATATTGCGCATTTCACAGAATGGTTTCAGTATTTATGAGAAATGTGTATCCCATTTTCTCTTTTAAGGGGAAGAAAATAGATTCTCCATCCATAGTAGACAGGGAAAATAGTGGCATGGATCATATCATGCAGATTGATCTTGTTTTCTCTCTCTTTTTCTCTATTCCAGCTCCTGCAGAGATTTTGGATGTGGCAGAAGAAGAGAAGTAAGTCCATTCTCAGTTATGGTGGCAGAACATCACAAGGGAATTTGTATACTGTTTTTTTTTTCCCAATTGACCCAGCATGTGGGTGCCTGTGTATTTATTTATTCATGTGTTCGTTCATTCATTCATTCATTCAAATTTGTCTGGCCACCCATCCCATCAAGTGACTCTAGACAGGGAACAGTCTTGTGTGTAGAGAAGGATAGCTCAACCTCGCAGTCTGTCCTTTGGGATCATGGTTTTGAGAGCTGTCATTCTGAATAGGTTGTGTTGTAAGCATAAATTCTTACGTCTAAAAAAAACAAGTAGAAGGTTACTCTTTTTCGTCATCCCTGTCCTCTAGAATTCCAGCTTTCTCTGCTACTTAGTACTGACTATTTGAAACAGGAATTGTGTCTGTGGATCTATTTGCAGAGGCAGTGAAAGCTTTATTTTCCTACCAGCAGCTCCACTTGTAGAAAAGGTGGACAGCCTGCAGGTCACCAGAGAATCCTGGTGCAAGGGAATTACAGAAGAACTTCAGTAAATCACCCTGTCCGGAGTCAGTTGTTTCTGCATAACTTTCCTTCCTTAATGCCACATTCACTCTTAGGTTGCTGTTTCCCTTTCCACTGAGGTCTCCAGGGAGCAAAAAAGAAAATGCTAAGTCTGACTTGTTAGGGAGGACTTTCCCTCTTTGTTGTCTGTCCCTCAGCCTCTCTTCCTAGCTGATGTAAGAACTGATCCCCATGTCTTACTAACGCCATGGAAACATTAACATACAAGAACCTGTGTCACAGACTGGTTCCAGCCAGGGCTGTGTTGGAACTTTATGTATTGTTTGCCTTTTGGAACATAGCAGAAGAGGGTATGTATTTTTGATCCTAGTTCTCCATTTTAATCTTCCTGTTAGTGGTGAGACCAGTTTGCATCAGGCTGCAGCACTTCGCCAGCGGACCATCTGCCATTACATAGTGGAGGCTGGAGCTTCACTGATGAAAACAGATTTGCAGGTAAAATTTCTTGTGAGCAATGGAGCATTGGGAATACATGAAGGGGAGTGAAATTTCTACGTTCAGTTTCTGAGTTCAGAATCAATAACGAATCTTTTTTTATGTAGTAGAGTAGTGCATCCACAAGAAAGGATGATTCTAGGTGACTTCCTACCATGCTAGCTAATTAATTTTTCAGTCTAGGGAATTGTAAATGTGCCACTAACACACTGTTAGCTACACTTGACAATTGTGTTAAATGTATAAACCAGACTTCCCCCAAAGTCAGAACTGGAATTCATATGAGCTGAGAATTCTGGAAACTGTAATCCCATCACCACTTGGGAGTTATACCAGACTGAGCAGATCAAATGGATCTTGAAAAGATGCTGGCCAGGAAGGAAATGAATTATACCCAGCAGGAAAAGTAGACTGTGTATTAGATGAAGATAGATCTGGTGGTTGTCTGCTGCATTTAAGATAACAGCTTGGCAAATGGTTTTGACTGACCTCTTATGCTGCCAATGTTGCAGGGGGGGTTCTTTCCCTAAATGTAATTCCAGAACGCCTCATTCCCTCTTTCCTTTTCCTAACTTTGATGCAAAATTGCCTCACTGTTAACTTTTTCCAACTCTGAACAGCATTCTCAAGCTGATGCTAATTAATCCAAACTAACAGAGAAAATTTAATCCCTTTTAATATCAGAGAGCTGCAGAATTTTGAAATATAGGGCTCCACGGTCATAGCTCTGTCTTAATACTTAAGGGGAGGGATTTAAAGAAATAATTGAAGTATTCTTTGGCAACGAGACTGGCCTATCATATGTGAGTTCATTTAGCTAGAGTAGATCTTAATGGACTATAAAAACATCGGAGCATTTCAAACAAGCAATAAAACCCTTTGCCAGCTGCATGAAGATTTTTGTAGCAAGTTCTGGCGGCTCCTTGAACCCTAACCTTTAGGTCAGTGTCACGGACCATTAATGTGACCAAACAACAGTTGCTGGAGTTGGAACGGCCAACCACTTTAAATGGAAAAGGCTCCGTGTGAGATTACACTATGAAAAAGAATTTGCAAAGTAAGATTGTCCCTTTTCTTCCTCACAGTTCCAAATGCTGTTTTTCCGTGGACCGGAGGGGGCGTGGTTTTGTGTGCTGCCTGCATCCTGCGGATAAGGCTTAGCTTGTTTGTGTGGGCCAGTTGCTGGCATGCCGCAGCCCAGTACCGGTCCACGGACCGGGGGTTGGGGACCCCTGCTTTAGTGCCTGCATTGAAGGGGGCTTGAGCTCCTGACAGGAGACGCTACTGAATCTGCGATTTTCTTAATATTTTTTTCTGCAACACAGCTAGAGCCAGTGGTCCATACCTTTCCAATGTCTCTTCCTAACTTCATCCCAACTGTTGAGTGCTTGTGCTATAACGTGATTTAATTTTGCCTATGCAGGGAGAGTGTTGTGAGAGTGTTGTGAGAGTGTACAAACCTTCTTTCTGAATAAATGCCCGCATGAGTCAAATACAATTTGTTCCCTGTTCCTTAAACAAAATGATGAACTGGCTGAAACATACTGGATCATAATCTCCAGCAGCAGGGGAGATGCTTTGGAGACCTGGCTTCAGGTTCAGTTTCTGTGCATTTAAGAAGGGAATTTATCTGCTGCTATTCTTGTTGCAAGAGAAAACAGGCAGTTGAATGGAACAAACTTTTGATTAAAGAAGCTAATGATGAGATTGTGAATAAGCAACCTCTGGGTTGTACCTGTGTGTGGAAATTATATATGGCTTCATGCATGTGCTTTGCTTCTAGCTTTGTCCATTTGAAAAATGACTGTAATAGGAATTTGCAGAAACTGGATATGTCTATTTCTTATGAAGAGAAGGACGAGGGGGGACATGATAGCAGTGTTCCAGTATCTCAGGGGCTGCCACAAAGAAGAGGGAGTCAAGCTATTTTCCAAGGCGCCTGAAGGCAGGACAAGAAGCAACGGATGGAAACTAATCAAGGAGAGAAGCAACCTAGAAATAGGGAGTAATTTCTTGACAGTCAGAACAATTAATCAGTGGAACGACTTGCCTCCAGAAGCTGCAGGTACTCTGGAAGTTTGTAAGAAGAGATTGGACAGCCATTTTTCTGGAATGGTATAGTGTCTCCTGCTTGAGCTGGGAGTTGGAGTAGAAGATCTCCAAGGTCTCTTCCAGCTCTTATTCTGTAAATAAGGGGATGGAAGTGAAGCTAAGAACTTGTCTGTCTGTCTGTCTGTCTGTCTGTCTGTCTGTCTGTCTGTCTGTCTGTCTGTCTGTCTNTTCCTTCCTTCCTTCCTTCCTTCCTTCCTTCCTTCCTTCCTTCCTTCCTTCCTTCCTTCCTCTGTTGCTTGCTTTCTGCTAGGAGGTGAGGGCCACAGTGGGAGACTTTCAGTACAGCTGGTGGCAGCTAGCCAGTTTTCCTTGGCTTTTCTGAGCAGCCTGTTTGTTCAATGCTGGCGAAGTGTGGGGGTTGTGAATGAGAGGGAGGGAGAGTTTGTGCTGTGGGGGAAGAAAGGGGAGTCACGGCTGAAAACTGTTAACAGATTTAGTTTTTATGGAGTGCAGGAGTTCATTAGCGGACACAGTCCAGATGGCTGCAGTACGTTCATGAAATATGAGCTTCCTTGGGGATCAGGAGAACTAGTAAGGCTGTGAAGATGATACTTCAGGGCCCTCCCCAGGCATATACCTCACCCAGCCAGCGCCCCCACACTCCTTTTTTACTTTCTCAGAATGAGTAGACAAACTAGGAAGTCAAGAAAGACAAACTTATATCAAAACTTCTCACTTTCCCTGTTTATACTCTTGGAGTGGGAGGATATGGAAACACAGCCTTAACCCCCCCCCTCCCAAAATATCCAGTAAGAGGAATGGGGTGGGTATACAAACAGGCCCTTGAGGAGTTATTTAGCTGTCAGTTGCTAATCTTCCAGAAACCCCAAAGCTTCCCATCCAGGCAGGCTCTTCCAGTCTTACGGCTTTTCCCCACATCTCTTGAGGCAAGACTGGAATCTGTGTATGTAGCTACAGCCCTACATTTGGGGCCCTTTTCTTTTCAGGGCTGCATGTGAATACAGATTTCTTAGGATAACCAGTAGGCGTGTCTAATATAGATATCCTTATTTATGGGAAATAATACGCACAGTTCACAGAGTTCAAGGTTGATATGGAAGGCCACAGGGGCATTATTATTTTTTGTTATTGTATATGTACAGTAAAAGGGAGAGAAATATGCATTTTATGCATTCATTTGTCTCTTGCTCCAAAGACTTGCCCTAATGTACAAACATAATGTGTGTGTGTGGTGTGTGTGTGTGTGTGTGTGTGCATGCACTTATCTACTTGTTCGTTTATGAGACAAAGCAAGACATAGCAGCCGCCAAATGATCTGACATTTCTGCCTGTGGGAGTGAGATGGAGCCTGAAATCATAATTAAATTACAAATTCCTTGGACACTTTTATAAGTGATGTGATGCCTATAGCTATGTAAGTATGATTTACAAATCTATGTTTTTTTTTAGAATATATTTTCCACATACATACCCAAATTAATTTGTTTTAAAATCCTAAGTGAGACTATTAACCCTTCAGATTGCCAACCATTAAGATGTGCCAAACATCTAATGGATCGCAACAGAGTTGAGGAGCTCAAAATGAAGAGGAGAGTGAAATTCTGTGGTAATCGAACAGTTTTGTGCTCCATCTCCCCTTTTGTGTCATCTTCTCACAGGGAGACACACCCAAGCACAGAGCTGAGAAGGCAAACGATCCCGACCTGGCTGCCTACCTCGAAAATCGACAGCACTATCAGATGATCCAGCGGGAGGACCAGGAAACCGCCGTGTAGCACTCGGCATGCCTTCATCCTTTCCTGGGGGCAGAAACCGAGCAGCACGGGAACCTGGCTAGCCTTTTCTTGAAGGTCCATCACACAGAGGATCCAGAGCTTTTTGTCTGGGCTTGGCCACGGTGCTGTTATTTATTCATGTAGTGGGTGTTGAACAATGCTGACTGCCGCATCCCCCACCAACCACCACATTCCATGGATGGATACTGCTGCCTGATATTTCATTCCTGTCTGCTTCCAAGTTTTCTTGACCCTCATTGTTGCTGCTCTCAAAGCAGGAAAAATACTCCCTTCTAGCTATTGGTGGAGCTCCAGTTCAGATATCTGCCCCCTCCCCCCACGCCACCCTTATGCAACCTTGTGTCATCTCCCTAAAGGCAGCGTCTGCAACCCTTTTAGATCTTCTGAAGCTTCATCCCACCGATTCTGCTGATTCCCAGCAGTGGGTATTGTCGTTCTCAGTAGTTTCAACGGTAGCAATGCCCATGGTCTTGGTATATTCTATACTGGAAATTTGCTAGCACAATTTTTGAGGAGGCATGCAGAAAAGACCCCCCGTTTATTTACTATAGTCCTTTCTTGTTATTCAGGCACTGAATTCAATTACTTGTGTAAACTCTGGGTGACAGTCACATTGGCAAGCAATCCAAGTATCCAAAGCAAGCTATGGGCTTGGTTTGCATCCTCTCAGCACAATATATCCCTCTTCCTCCCTTTCTTTTATTCCCTTTACTATGTTGACCCTGTATTGCAAGCCCCATGCTGTAAAAGGATGTTTATATATCTTGTAAAAACAGGGAACACCAGGTCAAATCCCACTCCCTCCAATTTAAGCTGCTGCAAGCTGAGTTTTGAGACTGCCGCACTAAATGTTTTGAGCAAAGTGTGCCTCCTCTCCAGGTTTCTTTTTTTCCCTCTTTCTATTCTCATATATTACCTTTTTTCTGCTTTTTACATTCACTGATTTAGGAAGTAGCCAGTTGTAAGCGTATTCAAAATATGATTGGAAAGTTTGAAATCTGCTGAAAAGGGAGGAGAGAGATCTCATCTAAAAAGGCCATTGGTACTTGTCATACTTAAGGATAAAGCGTTATCAATATGGAAATTACCTTTTCGTTTTAAGGAGATAGGAGTAACTAGGAAATACATCAATATAAAGGGAACTATTCCTGTCAACTAGCGTTAATGGCACACTTTGATCCAGGGACTTGTACTGACAGTAGTAGTAATGAATGGAAAAGTTCCTGTACAGCCATCTAATTCCTTGCCTAAATAAGAATGGTCCCTGCAATTGGTTCTTAGACTCATGCACAGGAACAGGATACCCATATCAATTTATAATATTTTGGTGCACAGACTTAAAAATGTGCAAGTCCTATGGGCACGATTGCAGGCAGATCCTAGTTATCGTCCTAAGATGTTTTGTTTGCCCAAGTCTCCCATCACTACCTGTCCCTTTTTGGGGGGGTTTCTAAAACAAAGCAATCCAAAACCTCCCAACACTTAAGGTTCAGAGAATGTGATACATAGTCAATCTGTGTATAGATTGAATTGACACCCAACTGATTTGATAAAGCAGGGACTATATGAAATTGAGCTGTCATGCAGTTGAGTTTACAAACATATAGTCATGCTGCTCTACCTGAACAGTTCAGATTAAATAATTTGAGAGCTCTGATTGGTCAAGAAGAGTGGACTGAAACTGGAACAAAAGTTTTTAATAATTTATTTCTCCAGTGTGGGCAAGAATTCTTAAATCTCATTGAGGCTATGGGTTCTGTTCTCAAACTGTTGTAAAATAGGTAGCTTTCTGTGGACTGAGGACACTGGATCACTAATTTAAGGACCCATAGAAGAAAGTTTAAATAAATAGGGGCATCTTAAAGAGCAGGAGAAGCAAGCTGCTGGTGAAATCTGCTTGCAAAACTTAACCAGGGATTATCTTCCATAGATGCAAGAGTTTGAATTTAGAAAGAGTAGACTTTAAGGGTGTGATTCTCTGAGTTCTAGGGGGCTCAATGAGATTAGAGTCAAGAATTTGTTACATACCACCCAGATATGTAAGAATATCCTATATCTGTCTGGAAGCTTGTCCTCCTCCAAGGCTGAGCTTGCCTGCTTTCTGTATCTAATGCTTTTAAGATTGAGATACTAAATATCTCTGATAGCACCTGAGACTTGAAAAGATGGCCAAGTGTCCATTTGAACCCGCTCTGGGAGCTTGCTCTTTCCATCTAGTTAGGTCCCTGTCCTTTAAATGTGGCACTAAGCAAAGGATAATACCCCAAAGCAGACTGCACTCTGAGCACAGGTCCCAGGCAAGATGTGAATTGTTCTAGATCAGAAGCACTGTCATCTCTTTGACATCGCCCCTTCTTTCCTCTCCAGAGAACAGCCGAAACATTTGGGCATCTGAGGGTGGTGCTGACTCACAGCTGCACCATATCAAGCCTAACTGGTTGGATCAGCTAGGTCTTTGGCCTTGTACAACCAACTGCCGTGCCAATAATGGCAACTTCCCATCCTGCATGACGATGGCTATTGTAGGTCAACCGAAGAGAATGCCCCACGCTTTGCTCTAAACTAGGAGGACTCATGCTCTGGATTTTTAAAATTGTAAACATTCCTCTACATACAAGCTGTTTTATAGCCCTATAGGCCTGCTAGCTTCTCTTCCTCCCTTTTATATGTCTTCTTAAACTTTGTACAGGTAGTTCAAAAGCACACTGTTTCCTCATCTCTAAATGTTTGTTTGTGCATGTGTGTGTCTTAAGCTGAGTTGCTGTGCAATTCAAACCTTGACTTGTTCTACTCCAAGGGGGAAGGAGTGTGTTTGAGAGTGTTTTTTTCCCCCTGTGCAATACCTGATTCCCATTTCCTAGATTCAGACTGGTAGGACACTTTTGGTTTGACTGTTTTGGTTTGGTTTTTTTGTTTTGTTTTTTAATGTAACTACATTGGAAGCTTGTGCTTCTGACTTTCTCTTTGACAGTTTAAATGTTTTGTTGAGTTTTGCCATTAAAATAGAAGGATGAACATTTTACTTCCCCTCTCTTATTTCTTTTCAAAGCACGTCCCTTTCTCATACATGGTTTTTATAATAAAAATATCCCTTTTCCCCTTAAAAAATAGTAGCTAACCCTATTTTGCAATGCCTATGTGTTGGAAATTATTTTTAAGCATAGGTGAAAACCACAGAATGAATTTAGCTGCCTCTCTACTCAATTTTTGTCTTCACAAAAGATGGATGCAGTGGGCTCTTAGCAGGTATTTTACCTTTTTTTTTCAAATAGTGTAAAAAGAAAACAAAAATGACATGACAATGATTTTTTTTTTCTTCCGTCCAACACTAGTGCTGAACCACAGGTGCTGGTATCTGTTCCAACAAATAGTCCAATATTAAAAATGTATGCTTACTTGGTCATTTAACATACTGAATAGCAGAACCTCAAGAAGACTTCCCGGAGGAAAAAGATGATGTTTCAGAAAAAGCAACTATGTTGGTGTATCTTTGAAGACTAATATATTGTGACATGGAGTTTTGTACTAACTCGATAGAGACGGGGGTGTTTCCTGACATTCAGGTAGACCTGAGGTTTTGAAGAACAGTCATATAAATACTGGATTTCAAGAACTGGGAATGGAAAACCTTTTCAGTTGAAGTAATTCCCCTAGGTCATAAAGGGAGATTTTATAACACCTTTTATTTAACCAGATTCAGAAATGCAGGTTTATAACTTCTGCTCATTTTCTGCCCTAAAGACTTCATTCCTATGCATAGAGTCATGCATACTTATTCATATCAAATTTTCAGTTTTTCTTTAAATGCTGTGAATAACTGGCATATCCTTTTATACACACATCTCTCTATCTCTCATCTGACCCAGCAATCTGTTTGGATTCCTTCTTAGATAATGCAAAAATACTGTTGCTGTTAGGAACAGACCATCAAGCTGAAAGCACTCCCTTTTCAGTGTTGCCATTCTCACCGATAGGAGTTGGCATATGGTCAGGGTCAGACAGACACTGCACCCCCCCCCTTTTTTTTTTTTTGACAAGTGGAATGCATTATTTTTCTCATTATTTTGTTCTCTAAAGGTTACAGAGGTTGGTTTGAGTAATGAGGTGGTATATTCAGCAGGAAAACTGATTTTTTTAAGCCTCTTTTCCAATTTTGTGGACAATTAATAAAATGAACACAATAAATTGCACTGTGCCCCAAATTACCCTGCCATTACTTCTTTTGCCATGATTTGGGGGTGCTAGAATAGCCTGTGAAATGCCCTTCCTTTGTTAGATGCTATACTAGACCAGGAGTCTTCAAACATGGCCCTTTTATGACTTGTGGACTTCAACTCCCAGAATTCCTCAGCCAGCGTGTCTGGCTGAGGAATTCTGGGAGTTGAAGTCCACAAGTCATAAAAGGGCCAAGTTTGAAGACCCCTGTACTAGACTCAAACTGATGAAAGAGAGAGGAACAAATGTTTAGAACAGGTAATCCTTCAGCAGGGACAAAGTTTTACCAAGGTTTGTTTTTCTACGATCAAGAATGCATTTTTAACATACTTTTAAAAGCTTCAACCTTATTGACATCTTGGAATATCTGTGCGTGTGTCCCATACTTGCATTCTATACATACGAGTCCTAAACATTTTTGTTCTTGAATAAATCATATGTGGTTTAGTAGGACTTATTTCCCGTATAAATTTACTTCAGATTACAGTTGCAATTCAACACCCAAAAGTGAGGTGGGGGGAGCGGTCTCTGCTTAACTGAGGTGATTAGTTTTGTGCCTAGAGTAGAAGCTCACTGATGGCTATAACATCCATTTTATTCTGGCAGGGCTGCAGGCCTCAGAACAGCCTTGCATTCGTAAACCTTCCTTTTTAATCACCACAGATTTAATACTTGTTCATAATATCACTTGGAATTTTTAATCAGCATGTTTCATTTGGAAACCCTAAAACAACCCCTGTTTGGCATTTGCTCTACAACAGCGTCCATAAACTGCCTGCTCCTATCTACTAAAGAATTTGTGGTTTCAAAGTTGAGGTCTGCTTTTAATTCTATTCCATTTTCACTTGCTGACTCATAATTGGGAGGGGAGTGATACATCATTTCCTCTTGATTTTTCCTTTGTAGGCAGATAAAAATCCTGACTTCCATAGGCAAATGAATATTCTGAGAAAAACTCCTGATGTTAATTTGAGGTGTCCCTTTAAAGCAGTGTCCTAGACATGACTATCTCATCAAAAGACTTGCTATTCCATAGCTGCACATTCCATCTTAAAAGTTTAATCAAATACAGATGCTGTGGCTTTAAAGATCAGCTACCCTGACCCCACCCCCTTTTCTCTTCTCCAGTCTTGTACATGGTTTAGCATTAAGCCTGGGGGTGGGGGGCAGGAATTCTGCAGTGCTAGAAAGTTTCACACACTACTGACCTTATGTATGCTTAATAGGCATTTTAGAATGTGCCATTGCATTAATGCACATTCAACAATTTGGAGAAGCTGAAAGACAACACGTATTTTTCAATGATATATTGTTCAATCTTTAACATGTGATGTTATGTTGTGTGTAACACTGTAGGTGTCAGGAAACATATTTGAGAAAAGAATATTGGCTTCTAAAGAACAGATGGAAGTTGGTGCTCGTTTATTAACTAGTAAGGGCTGGCAGAAAAGTCCAATAACTTGTTTCTTGT